AATCACACACGCATAAGCACTGTCATCTTGTTGGTGCGTCCACGTCGAGGCACGCCAACAATGACTCGCGATGAAGGAGGCTTAGTGGAGGAGGGGCTTGAGGAAGGCGCATCAGGAGAGACCTCAGCAGCCTAACTGCAATAAGGCTGCGTTGCTTTCGTTCACTGATTCTCCTTACTTGTTCACACCGAACAGCTTTCGGTCCGAGTCTGTGACTGACGCCAGCTCGGTCATGTTTCTGCTCACCTCTGCCTTCCTGGGCGAAATGCTGCTTTCATCAAGCACCTTCTGGCCGTTTGGGTCATGGCGAGCTGATAAGCTTGCAGTCATGTATCCAGCACCGCTCACACCCTATTCTGGAGATAACGGCATGTGTCTCGTAACATTACCTCATGCACCATCGTTGGATCCGCCCTTTGCTTGAACCTTCCCTGATGGACGCCATGATGACCCGGCCTCGACGTTGAAACCAGAGATCAAAAGCATCTGCCTCATGGTGCCATACGCAGCCAACAACTGGAACAATAGGTCGTCAACCACTGGAACTGGGAGAGGGCACATAATGACTTGCTTGAGGGCAGACAACCCGTATTTGTGAGCTACCGATTGCCAAGATGCTGACAGGCTCAGATCTCCCCTCTAAGGTATAACATTATGCCAGTAGATGGGATGCGGCCGGGGCTGGAATCGATACTGTTAGGAGCTCTGCTGGGTCCAGGCAACGGACGTCTCGTGGGCATTGGGCATTGCCGGTCAACTAGCATCGCCCGTGCTCTGACAGCATGCAGAACAAGCGAGCTGTGACAACTTCCAGCACCGGTCCCCGAAGTTCACTTGCTGCGGCCGCGATACGAGCGCACGACCGTCGCCGCGGAACACCACCAGCCTTGTCCCAAAGGCCGGTCAGTTGCGCTCGCCACGGGTTCAAGGGATTATACCAACGGAAAATGCAGTACCTGTCCGGTTTAGTTTGGTTCTCACCAGAACACCATCTTATGGAGACTGCTATATGCGAAACACCAAATCTAGGGTCCCGGATAACGCTATCTCGACGCTAGTGCTACAGTTTCCCTTCGCGTGGCTTGCATGCGATGCACCGAGTTGAATGGGAGCGAATTGCTGGCGCCCTCAACGGACCTGAAAAGGGCATGACGGAGCTGCTGGACCTGTCGTGATCCTGTAGAACCTGACGCGTACCCTGGTCATAACGAGAGGTCAAGCAAGAGACCGAACAGCGCCGCTGAATCCCACCTGAGCCGTTCATCTGACCGTGCTTGCTACCCCTTTCTCTCCATTGCGAGCAGGAGTTGACTACTGGGCCGGTCTGTCGGACAGGAACGGGCAAGGAAACTGCATACCTCTGTGTGAGTCATACGTGAGGAGGCGGGGGGGGGGGCGAGTTGGAGTGGGGTGGGCGCTGGGCGCGGCCTACCCACAGTCTTGCGGTTCAAAGGTGCAAAGGGAGCCTGTCACCGAGTTAGCCACTATCCAACGGGCTGTTGCGGCGAGAGGTCAGTTTCGGCCTGTCGTCGAGTTGTGTTTGGCGTCTGGCGTTTCGTGAGTGGGCTCTCGCCCCATCTCACCACCGACCGCCCAGGCTGGGCTCTCGCCCCATCTCACCACCGCGCACCCTACCCTACGCAGCCGCCATCCCTCCCGGACAGCCAAAACAAGCCATGCCGCTTTCCAAACGTCCTGTGTTTGGAATGTTTGTCGCCGGAGAACCCTATGCATGAACTTACCTCCCCTCGTCCCTCACCCGCAACTCGGACTCGGGGTCAGCCCAGTAAGTCCGGCAAGCCTCACAGTATCGCGTAAGGGAGAGAGTTGAAAATTCTGGGAGAGCGCGGCACCCGCGTTTCATATCCGAATCAGTGGTACGGTAATCCCAGGCAATGTCACCTCCTCTTTCAACACGGGCGGGGTGATTGAGCTTCCGGATCTGACCCCGCTGCAGGGCGCCTGACGACACCCGTCATCTGCGGGCGCGGGTCGCGGCAGGTAGAGCAGGGCATGTGAGGGCGATTCCTGCTTGTTATTGTCATCTGCGGGGTATGCGTCGGCATGGGAGTACGATGGGAGCGTTGCCGCGCGCTTCCGGCGTCATTCCGTGCGAGGCGGTGCAGAGTTGTCGCGTCGCAAATTGCAGCCGCGCGCCAAACCTGGCGGTGATGTCAGCACACTGCAGTACCGTTTGGTGTCATGTTGCTTCCCGCGAGCTTGAGCGGGTTCGGTTCGCGCAGACCTCTGGGACGCAGGGGTCTGGGTTCGCACCTTGCGCCTGTTTGTGCTCCTCTGCACTGTGGCTTTACGTTCCAACAAAGCGTAACCTCGGGATCATGCCGCCGTCCTCGGCGAGTCGCCCACATCAGCTGAGCTGAAGCTGACAGACGAGGGAAGCGACGAACCCGTTTCCGCCCTCCATCTCCTCCCGCTCACGGCAGCAGTGGCCCGGTTGGGCTCGGCCGGCGGCAGGATGCTTTCAGATATTCTGATCTCATGCGTACCACACTCTTGCGCGGCCACTTGAATACGTACGGCGCGGCAAGTACGGCACGACTCGATTCCGATCTCGATCCCTCTCGATCTCGATCTGTCTCTCAACGGTGATTGAGGTACCGGTGTGGGGGTGCGGCTGGGCTGGAACGTTTTCGCGGCACGCGTTTGGCGGTACCCGGCGTTGCATAGTCGCAAGGCATCGTCGAGCGGGCCGGGTGCTGCGCGTCAGTGTCACTACCTCCCCGGCGAGTCAGCCATTCGAAGTGTCACGCAGCCGCTGGCAGCGTCGCTCGGAGTGGACCTGGGCCTGGGTGTCGCACCAGGTCCAAAACCAGCGGTGTTGGGCGCATGACCGAAACCTTCACTCGCTTGCTTCCTGTAGAATGGGGACACTTGACGCAGATTTTGCGTACGGAGCAGGGGATCTGCGGTATTCGTGAACCACACCAGTCTAACAGTTTCAACATGGACGTTTCGCTAGAGCGGGCATGTGGGCCGTCCACAAACACCGGAACACCGCCAACACCGAAGGCTGTCTGCGCAGTGCGCAGTACGCACCATTTCATCTTCAAGTGCGCCATCGCACGGTGACGGTGTGGAACGGTGCGTTCCACCGCGGATTGGGTTTGAACCAACACAACCTACCACGTTCTGCCAACCTAGTGCCCCTGGGCTTTCCTGCGCCGACCCTCTCCGACTCAGACACTCCCAGCACGTCAGGACTCCCGGTCTCTCGCGTCTTGCAGGCGTCTCTCGCGTCGAGGGCATGTGACTGGGCGTTGCCAAACTTTGTTGCTGGTGCGGGGAACTTTGGGCGCGCGTGATTCGCTGCAGCGATTCAGCACGGGGCGCTCGCGACATGCAACGATGTGCAGCGGCGTGTTGCTGAGCGCGCGGCGAATGGTTCCAGCGGGCGCCCTGCCCTGACCGTTTCTCACAAGCAGTACTCGCCGTGCGATTCGCGGCCTGCGCACATTCGGGAATCGAGTCGAGTGCGTACGTCCCGCCACGCACGCTGCGCACACCACGCACCATGAAGAGCACGCATGAACGCTACGCACTCCACGCACGCCAAGCCTATGGCACTCGTGGTGAGGCGATCAACGCGTGGCAGCAGAGAAGCGCACCGGAGTATCTAACCCTCGCGTGTGGGACAGTTGCGACGAGACCTTGTACGTGACACGGAACCGCAAGGTGCCAAGTCTAAAGCTTCTTGTTGTCCCATTCAGGTGCGCGCGGCACGCGGTGCACACAAGGACGATTTGCGGTGGGCAAGCGAGTGGCAGAACATCCTGATTGTGTGTTATGCGGCGATCGACGTGGTAATCTGCGTTTCTCTCGAACCCGCAGGCATATTGCGTATGTCGATGCTAGTGGCGACTGGTGGTAACGCATGGTGATACACGATGAAGTACGGCCTCCATGGAAAGTCGAGCCAACGCTGTAGGAATTTCGGCCAAAGCCACTGTACATCACCGGATCCCACTGCCGAGGAACAATAGGTGAACCGACACAGCTATGTGCCCGCATAACTTTGTGGTGGATCGTGATTAATGCAGGACTGAGGCAGAGTTAGCGCTAAAGTATTGTTCGGCGGCTATGGCGTCGACCGAGCGGTGGCTGAAGCCAGGAGAGTTCACCAGAATGCAAGGAGAGTTCAGCCAAGCCGGGACGGTTCTGTGACGACTCCCGACGCGTACGCTGGAAATGGGATGAGGAACTTGCATTCCTCGTATCTTGTTGCGACACTCGGCGAAAGAAATAAAAAACATGTTCTCCACGCCCCTCAGTACGGGGTACTGAATGGGAGCGGGAGCTCGCTGTTGTGCAGGGAGGCGTCGTCCGCTAACGAGAGGTGTCGCCCGGCTCAACATAGGCACGAAACTGAGACTGGAGAGGCAGGCAGGCGGGAACGCACACTACTGTCCCGTTGCGGCGTGTGGAAGGTCGAATGGGATGCATAAACAATATCGTGGGCGTTGCACGTCCGTACGGTGCGTTCAACTTCTTCAAATGTGTGCGACACGCAGAAGGCGGCTGGCCTCTCGTCCCCAAAGATGGCGCGAACGCTTCTATCGGGCGCCGCCGGGGCCCTCAAAATCGGTCGTCACTGCGAAAATCAGCTAGCGTACTAAACACCAAGGAGGTCGATACTAGGGGCGCATTGCGACTGGGGCAAAGAATGTGTCTTCGCAGCCACACAGCTGCATCGGGACGAGCTAACATCAAATGCCGGCCACCGTCTCCGATGGAGCCTCACGGAGTGTGCTTGACTTCTGCAGCAAGCGTGGTGCACACTTAACAATGGCGGGAAACAAATGGAGCGGTGAAGCAAAGCCTTCACACTAAATGGAGCGCAAGGTCACCCGAAAGACTTCCCCTGCGTTGAGGGCATGCCCTTACTCACATTTTTCGAGCGTTCTGTACTCGCGCGTATAGCCAATTTACGGCGTTCCGAACCCCGGTGCTGTGGTAAGCAATTATGGAGACCGTCGAGATGCTCACCCTTCCAGAGCAGAAACTCCTAGGACGTCCAAGCTGGCGAGGCGCTCGCGCTTGGCGTCCGCATCCACTACGTCTGCCGCTCTAGCCTCCGAACTTGGCCCTGGGGCTGCGGCCTCCTCGTCCTCCTTACCAGGTCGCGCGCGTTGCCAAGCCTCGAACGACTCGCGAATCTCGGCAACGGTGAGGGACGTGTCCTTGTCCTGCTTGTTGGCCAGCAGGAGCAGAGGAAGGTTTAATAAGCGGGGCGAAGTAATAACATCGTCTTGGGAAAGTCAGCACACCCTCATAGACGAAGGGAGCATGTGGCGTCAAGGTAATAAAAAGAGCAGGTTCCTTGTCATTCTCCTGCAGAGACAAACAAGGCTGACATGGATGGGGCGCGATCCTAGAAGCTTGTCGGCATGTGGTCGCGATAGGGAGGTTGGAGTGGGAGGGAGATCTGGTCGCCCCAGTGCCGGCGGAGGTCGTTCCGCGTTGCCTAAAGGCGGCATGCACCGTTCTCGCAGCCATGCGCAGTCTCAGGGTGTGTAGAGATTGATGAAAGAAGCAGCAGGGAGTGATGGGGTGTTCGCGAGGGCGCGTGCCAGCACCTGATAGCAACAATGCCAGTGAGCAGTGGGGGTCCCGAACCGACGCCACCGACCGTGGGGTCAAGGGTCTCGGAATCTAGGATCCCAGTACCTAGCAGGAACCATCGACAGTGTCTAGTGGATAGGATAAAAAGGATGCCACGGTGAGAGGCAGCAAGCAAGATCCAGATGTTGGGCGGTCAAGGGGCTGGCTCGAAAGTGGAGTCGGCCCGAGCGCCACACCTTACCCACCCGAAAGTGCCAGAGGAGTGCAGAATGCATCCCGAGCCGGGCGGACTTCAATCCGCCGTGGGGAGCCATACTACTTTTGTGGAACGCAACGGCCGGTGAATGAAGCTCAAATGGTTGGGATGCAGACAATTGCAGCTGGCCGCTGAAGAGAAACGGAGAAACTGGAAACACCTACCGAACACTTCCCACGTCTCAGACAGTCGAGCCTGGTCGCTGGCATCGACAACGAAGACGACAGCGTGACACTCATCATAGTACTTCGGCCAGATGGATCGGATATCCCGTTGTCCACCAAGATCGAAGAACTGCATGATGGTGGACGGAAGATTGATCTTGCCGACTGTCGGAACGGGCGTTTCCAGCATATTCAAGTAGTCGCGAGAACAACACGTATTGTCAGGTAGTGTATTCGAAGCGCGTTCAGCTTTCATTCACGTAGGAGTATCTGACATACTGTTCTGTCCTACCGTTGGCGCAATCTTGTCTGGAGCCATGCCCGGCGTTGGATTGTATAGTGTCTTGATTTTCTCCAACATTGTCTGCGGTCAGGGAAAGCATGGCTTGTGAGGAACATGGCCGAGCTGTATGCCTGCAATCTTCCGACACCACTTCAGCCCAAAGACTGGCGTGGGACTGGTCTCTCATGTCCACTCCACTCGCGCCCTCGGAGCTTCGGAACGAGCGCAGCCGGGGCGAGTTCGGAGTGCAGGCACCTCCAGCTTGCGAAAGCCGGGCAGCATCCACCACGCCATGGCGCCGATATGCTGTCCGTAAAGAGCTAGTCCTAAGGCGTTGTCGTTATCTGAGCCAGCCTGCCGCAAGCGCAGGATATCCTAATTGATCTCCGACACTATACGTACCGTCTTCCCTGCCTGTCCGCGTTAGCTAGGTGGGAATAGCAAGTGTCAGTTGAAGCCTCACATTGTCGAGCCCGATGATAACCACTGAGTATTCGTCCTTGCGTGTCAGATAGGAGTGTAGACCCGAGAGCAGGTGGTACATGGCGGTGAGGTCGAGCGGGTGATGGAAGAGTGAATGGATCGCACCGTCGTCACAACACGACATGGACGTTGCGTCCTCCACCTCCACCTTTCAGACCGTGACAGTGCGATTACAAACGCAACCCTAATGCGCTGCTAATGGCACTTACATACCTTTTATGGGCGGCACTAATGGGTGGCAACTGAGCCTAAAGCAGGGGTAGCAAATAAAGGGCGTGTTTCGCCGCGCGACTGTCTTTTCGAGATTGTAAACAAACAATCCGCAATCCGCAACGTCTAGCATCACTGCATCCACAGGCAGCATGTCATCTGTGACGCCACCAAGACGCCGAAGGATAGATCGCACCGACTTCAGCTCTCCCCGGGACACAACGGAAGATGCTCCCGGAACTCCGGGCCCCACGAAGGCTAGAATCGCGAATCTGAACAGTCAGGTGCAGGAGCTCGTCCGGAAACATCATGCAGCCGAGGTAAGCTCCCTGCGTCCTTCAGACGCTGAAATCTTAGCGCAAAATGCGCGCTCAGGAGAGTGCCTACGAAGCGAAACTCGAGCAGCACGATATCCAGCTCGCCGACGTGCAGGAGCAGCTCGCCGCTCAGGAACGTCGCAACGCCCGGATTACGAGGGAGCTTGAGCGCTGCGAGGCTGAGGGCAATGGGATGCGTGAAGAGGTACGTCTGACTTGATTGAGCGGGGTTAACATCAGCTCAATCTGTTCTCTTTAATGCAGCAGCAGAAGGCGCTCCTGGCCCTCAGTGAGGAAAGGCTTCAGCTAATTGAGATGGAGCAGCGTTTGGCGAACGCCGAAGCTGAGCGAGTGATTCGCGACCACAAGCTTGCGCTCTTCAAGAGCAGGGAGGCTGACATGATGGTCGCCTCCGACAGAACCAGTACACGCATTGCTGAGCTCGAGGTAAGTAGGCTGCGTGCTCAGGTGAACTGACAGTCCAGGCTGCGTTAGAGACAGCAAACACCAGCGCCGCCCATCAACGAGCCGCCGAGACCAAGAGCGCCTTAGACACCACTGCTGCACTGGAGTCCCAGATTAAGGAGCTGCAGGACTCTCTCGTCAGTCTGAGCGCCGAGAACGAGAAGCTGAGGTCGGAGAGCGCCGAGCTCCAGGATGCTCACAAGTCGCTGAAGGAGAAGGAAAAATTGACCCGCGCCGAGCTCGCCACGGCTCAGGCAGCAGCGGGCGGCGACGAGAAACTCAAGAAACAGCTGCGCGAAGTCAAGGCTGAATCTGCCCAGCACGAGCAGGAGATCGAGGAGCTGCGAGAACAGCTCGAATCTCTGAAGGAGACCAACAAAACTCTCAAGGCGAAGGAAAAGTCGGCCCGAACAGAGCTGGCCATGGCCCAAGCTTCTTCTGGCGGCGACGATAAGCTGAAGGCACAGCTTCGCGAGGTCAAGGCGCAAGCAGCCAAACACGAGGAGGCAGTGGAGGAGGCGCGAGAGGAGCTCGAGACGCTGAAGGAGACACATAAGGCTCTGAAGGCGAAGTACCGCGAGGAGCGGGTTCGTATCGCTGGCATCGAGGAGGAGCTTGAGGTGCTGAAGGCCGCGAAGCCGAGGAGCAGGAAGGCGACACCTAAAGACGACAGCGGGAGTGACTCGGACATCGCGCCAGTACGGAAAAAGAAGGCCGCCAAGTCGCCCGTCAAGCCGCGGGCGAAGGCATCTCCAAAGTCGAAGTCGAAGGCGCGCAAAGCCTCCCCCGTTAGCGACAGCGAGGACGAGTCGCCCAAGAAGAAGCCGAAGAAGGCACCCGTCTCCGTGAAGGAGAAGGCGAGCAAACCGGTGTCCAAAGCTCGCAAGCCGTTAGCAGAGGCAGACGTGAACGCCTCCGACGACGACAGGTCGGTGCGCTCGTCTGCTGAGCCAGAGAAGAAGAAGAAGCGCAAGCTGTTCGGTGCCCAGCCCGCATTCAATTGGGATCCCATCTTGAGTGTGAGTACATAATACAGATTGTGTCTATGGGCTATGATAAGAATACAAGAAACCAATGCTGATGGATCAGAGCGGAGACGGTGTCATTCCCACTTTCTTATCTCCTGTTAAGAGCACGAGGGCTGTGGGCACAATCCCCCGCGCAGGGTTCTCAAAGAGCTCGCGCCTAGGATTAAAGTAGCTTTAGATTGTTGGCCCGCGGGCCCATGCCGTTGTACCTGTCACAGAGGCAATGTACGGAACCTCTGCCGCAAGCAGTAATATTGCAATGTTGCGGGCGTCGCAAATGTCACGCCGACAGCCACCTCTCCTCGCTCGAAGTTACCAGTTCGAGGAGCTGAAACCAGCTACCCCTCAAACTTGTACCTCTCCCTCAACCTCCTTCCGTATTTGAACATGATGAGCGGTCCTGGGATAGCGACGAGGGCGATGAAGGCGAGCAAGCTGCCTCCCCACCCCCATCCGAGGGTGCCGAACATCTGCGCGCAGAATACAGGGAGCACGCAGGCAAACATGGAGCGCATGGCGCTGGCCCCGGCAGTCGCAGCAGCATGAAAGGGGAAGAATGCGTCGACGAGGAAGTTCTGGATACTGTTGAACGCAAGCATGCACCCAAAGCTGAGGATGACCTGGCCGATGACAGGGCCGATCCAGTGCGTCTCGGCCTGCGCGGTCCAGCCAAAGATGAACAGGCCGACAGGGAGGAGGACGGTGCCAATCTGAGTCAGGACAAAGCGATACTCGGGCTGGCCGTTGTCCCCGTTCCGACGCATAAGGTACTTGTAGATCCGGTCTTGTTGCGTCGCCGCTACGAAAGCGGCAGAGAAGAAGCCAATCGCACTCCCAACATAGCCCAGAGCCACGGTTCCGCGGGGCCATTGGTAAGAGAACAGACCGTCGACTTTGAACGGCGGCGGACCGAAGAGCAGCGGCGTGCTGATCAAGAACACGTAGATGATGCTGTAGAGGTAGGCGTAGTAGACGCATGTGATGAGGGCGACGGGGTTGCCGAAGAGCAGTCTTGGCGGGCGGGTGAGCGCCTTTGAGAACGCGTCTCCCGCTTCACTCTTTGAGACAGTGGCGCTCATCCAGCCCAGGTTGTGAATGATGCGCTTAGGAGAAAATCGGTCGAGGAAGCTCGTGGGGTCGGGTTGCGGGTACTGGATTCGGTACCCCAGCTTGCGTTGGATCACGGGAGCGTAAGTCTCCTGTGAGAAACAGACGAGGAGAGCAAAGTTTAGGCCGGACGCAATGACCATAAACCAGAGCTCCCACCGCCAGCCCCCGAACAAGATCCAATATCCCAGCATGGAGCCCAGGACGGGGCCAGCCATGGGACCGATGGCGTAGATGCTGACTGTGAGACCACGCTCGTTCGGTGCGAATAACTGTTGTCAGTGCGTGCCGAAAGCAAACAGGCTTACATCAGCACACGTCGCTACGCCCAGTGTTGGTCCGACTGATCCCATCATTCCACAGAAGAAGCGGAGCACAATCAGTGCCGCCATACTGTGCCTGTCAGCTCCACCCGCACCGTAATCGCCACTCGACTCACTTCGGCGCAACTGCCGCTCCGATCGCGAAAATGACAAAAAAGAACTGTGAGGAGAGATACGCTACCTGTCTCCCCCACAGCTCGGAAATCGGCGCAAAGATGAAGGGCCCGGTTCCGAGCCCCAGCACGTAGAAACACGTAATCAGCGTTCCGATCTTGAGGTTGTGTATTCCAAACTCGGCCATGACCTGGTGTATTCCGGGAACAGCAATGGACGACGCGCTCGTCGAAATGAAGCCCGTCACCGTGATCGTGAGACACAGTCCCCATTTCTTGGACAGCGGCCAGTTGCGGGGGTTCTCGGGCGAGGTGTCGAAATTCTGAAGCTGTTTCGCGGCCTCGCGCGCCGAGCGCGTTGAGAGCACCGTCTGCGTCAGCTTCAGCGGCTCGTGGTACTCGGACGGTGCCGTCGAGGCATCGGGCGACTCGAGTGCTTGGGCGCCAAAATTTCGGTCGTTCGGGTCGTCCGCACGGTTGTCGGCGGCTAGGGCGCCACCGCCCACCGCTTTCTCAATGTCGGAGGACATGTCGAGTTGATGGCATGAGGTCGAGAGTGTCGGGGACAAGAACAAGGAGCAGAGTCGTATACAGGGGACGCTCGGGGTCAGTACGTCCTGCCTGTGAGTCGTTCGAGAGGAGAATGATGCATCGTGAACATATCCGTCGGCAACGGATAAGTCGTCCGAGCTGGACGGCCGTTGTGGAGTTGCTGAGCACGGATGTCGGCCTTGTCCGGCCCGCTCACGGGCGCACCGAGCGCCGAACCGAGCTTGCCGAGACAACACGTGGCGACCGGATCCGGGTTATCGCCAAATGCGCTTTGGGCGCCTAACATACAGCTGACCGAATAGTCATCCGAAGCGGTTCCAGGGCGCGGCTGAGCAGTGACGTTGTGGAATCGGACGGTGGACGCTATGGACATCCAAGCCAAGACCGACGCCGTCATCTTGTCCCATCGCCCCAACCACCATGTCCGCGCTGGACGACTGTGAGTACATTCTATTTGGGGGATTGCTGACCCACATCAGTTGTCGAGCATGCCGCTGCTGCATCCTCGGGGCCGTCGCGGTACGCCAACGCTAATCGACCGTCGGCGCTCGACCATGTCGAATACCAGGGCTTCGATGACGAACCCGAGGTCGCCGACGATTCGGCCCTCATTGTGAGCTAGTCCGACGCTCAGGTTTAGCTGACAGACAGATGGAGACGGGCTTTATACCGAACTCACGAGCGACCGCGCTCCCGCCCCTCTTCACGCAGTCGCAGGTCCAATACACACCGCCGTCCGATATCCTCGATCTTACAGCAGCCAACAACATTCTGTTCCTAGCGACGAGTCCGTTGTCCGTGGTCATCATTGACTTGAACCATCCCGACGAGCTTGTCACCATCGACTTGCCAAAGCCGCAGGCAGACAAGCAGGCGAGCGTTGCCATCCGCGCCCTGTACGCCGATCCGCAGGCGCGGCATCTCATCATCACGACCACGACCGGTGACGCTTTCTACCTTCCTATCACGCCCGGCAACGCTTCAGCGCAGCAGAAGAAGCCGCGTCCACTCCGATTGCGCGCGAATGTCACGGCAGTAGCCTGGTCGCCGGTACCGCGGAGCGGAGATCACAATGACCCGAATGCACCTCCGCCGACCGACGTGCTCCTCGGCACTGCAAACGGCACCGTCCTCTCTCTTCCCCTTCCCCCGACCGACGACATCTTCAAGAGCGTTAACCCTAAGGCGACCGAGCGTGACCTGCAGCACGTATACTCGCTGCCGAGAAACCAGACCGTCGAAGGCATTGCGTTCGGCTTCTGGCACAGCGACAAGAAGCGCAACGAGACGCGGGCATGGGTTGTGATCTCGACAAAGGATCGGGTTTATGAGGTGCAGGGTCCTGTGACTACCATCCATGGGGGAGGGAAGGGTGGTGGCTGGGCCGAGGAGGTGTTCAAGCCTGCCCGTGACGGACCGATGAACTTCCAGGAGTTATCGGGCAGCCCAAAGAACTCAGAGCTGCGGACGTACACTCCTACCCTCCCCGGACAGGACTCGAGGCTAAAGCCGCCGACTGCGATCGCTTGGCTGACCGAGCCCGGACTCTACAACGCCGCCATCTCCGCGACGCCGACGCCAGAAGTGTTCCACAAGGCGTCGCTGTACCCGTACCCACCTGCACCAGAACCAGCGAGTACCGGCCCAGCCTTTTCACGATCACCGAAGCCGACGAGCCCTGCGCCAGTACCGATCTCCTTCGTCGTGACGCAGTGGCACTGGCTCTTCCTCTACAACGATAGAATCGTTGGTGTATCCCGTGAGACCGACAAGGTCGTGTGGGAGGAGCCGATCCCGCTCGACCAGGGCGAGGTGGCACTCGGGCTGTCATCAGACCCGATCTCCAAGACCTACTGGATCTACACCGAGAGGAAAATCATCGAGGTCGTCGTGAACAAGGAGGAGCGGGATGTGTGGCGTGCCAAGCTGGAGCGCAACAAGTTCGCCGAGGCGCTCGAGTTCGCTTCCACGCCGGCGCAGCGCGACATTGTCCTCTCCCGCCAGGGCGACGCACTGTACGACGAGGGCAAGTTCATCTTAGCCGCCAGGGCTTGGGCGGAGTCGACCAGGAGCTTTGAGTATGTCACGCTCAAGTTCATCGACGCCGACGAGCGAGATGCCCTGAGGGCGTATTTGACTGGAAGGCTGGATAAGCTTGACAAGAAGGTGAGCTGCAACTGGACGGACGAAGCTCATAGACAGGATCTGACGCAACGAATGATGCTCGCGACATGGCTGCTCGAGATCTACCTCAACAAGTGTAACACACTAGAGGACCTGATCGCGTCCGAGTCCGCGACGTCGGACGTCGAGACGCTTCAGCTGGAGCGCGAGATGGTCGAGGACGACCTACAGTCGTTCATGAAGGACTACAAGGCGAACCTCGACCCCGCCGTCGTGTATGAGCTGATCCAGGGCCATGGTCGAACGGACTTGTACCTGTTCTTCGCCGAGCTGAACAAGGACTGGGGCAAGATTGTTGAGCACTGGATCGCCGAGGAACAGTGGGACAAGGCAATCGAGATCCTCAGCCGCCAGGACGATGTCGACCTGTACTACCGCTTCTCTTCCTTGCTTATGCGCAACGCGGCCCGTGCCACAGTCGATGCGTGGATCAGGCAGTCGTCGCTGTTGCCACGAAGGCTCATCCCGGCGTTGCTACTGCAAAAGTCAGAACCGTTAGAGTCGAACCAGGCTGTCCGATATCTCGAGCATGTTATTCACCGCCAGGGCTCGACGGACTCGACCATCTACAACCTCCTCCTTACACTGTACGCCTGCGATTCGAACGAGGACGACGCGCCGTTAATTCGCTTCCTGTCGACTTGCCCCGACGACCCGCTCTCGGACAAACCGTTCTACGACCTTGACTACGCACTGCGTCTGTGCAAGAAGCACGGCCGCATCCAGGCGTGTGTGCTCATCTACAGCCGCATGGGGCTGTACGAGAACAGTGTCGACTTGGCTCTGGAGAAGGGCGACTTGGAGCTTGCCAAGGAGAACGCGGACAAACCGGAGGACGATCTGGATCTGCGGAAGAAGCTCTGGCTCAAGATTGCCAAGTACGTCGTACAGGAGAAGAGCGACATCAAGAGCGCCATGCGCTTCCTCGAGGCGACGGACCTGGTCAAGATCGAGGACATATTGCCGTTCTTCCCCGACTTTGTCGTCATCGACGACTTCAAGACGGAGATCTGCACTGCGCTTGAGGACTACAGCGCGCGCATCGAGGAGCTCAAGAAGGAGATGACGGCCGCAACGCGCTCGGCCGAGTCAATCAAGCGCGACATCGAGGCTCTGTCATCTCGCTTTGTAGCGATCGAGACGAGCGACAAGTGCTGGCGCTGCGACGGCGCCCTCACCGCGCGACAATTCTACGTCTTCCCGTGCCAGCATGCGTTCCACACTGACTGCCTTATATCCATGGTGAGTTGCTGATTCTCATCCAAGCTGACGTCAGGCGACTGAGTACCTCCCGCCGCACTCGCTCCGACGCATCCTGCACCTGCAAAACGAGCTCGTGCGCTCAACGGGAGACGGTGCGGGTTCCCGCGCGCTGCTCTCGTCGCAGTTCGGCCCGCATGCGAACGGACCGAAGCGGCAAGACTCGAAGGGCGCTGCCGACTGGCTCCCAGTTCCGGGCCGGCAGACGCTGGTCGCCGCAGGCGACCGGCTGCGCGACCTCATTGTACCCGATGCGCTTGCGCAGGCCGTCTCCGGGCAAGGCAAGAAGAAGAAGCGGGACCTGGACAGCACACAGGTCGAGCAGGCGCGGAAGGAACTCGATGAGCTCGTCGCGGCCACTTGCCCGCTGTGCGAGGGGGCGATCGCGAGCATCGACAAGCCCTTCGTCAAGGACGAGGAGGACGCGGGCGACTGGGCCATTTAGTTGTACAATCCATAGAGGCATGTCATTCTTCATTTATTCCCTTTCTCTCAAGAGCGCATCACATCAGCAAACGCCGTCATGCGCGCCGGGTATCATCAGCAAACGCCTGTCATGCCGGAACCGTCCTTGATCCGGGTTGATGGTAGCATGTGGTGACATGACGTTTTGCGAGTCGCATTCCTCCGTCGGTCACCAGCCCGGTCGCTTAGATCGGCAACTGCGGCAGACCGGGTGACTTTCCGGCGGCGGGGTGCGCATATTTGGTTCCTGAATATTGGCAGGCTGGGTGACTGGAATCGGCGAAGGCCGACAACGGCCTCCCATTTATCCTGTTGTCTCTCAACTCACGAGTCCGCATGACACCCCAGCTCCACCACAGACACAGACCTAGATGACAAGAGACAGCGCCGACGGCGCAAACGATGGCGATAGGGAGCATGTATCGCGCGTCCCGATAACAGACTTGGCAGCTGTTGAAGAGAATTTGGATCTGGACGAGAACGACCTCAGTCGTGCGACTACCCCGGTGACCTCGCCCCAGCGCACGGAGACGACCACGACAGTTGAGAGGCCGTACAGCGCCTTTGGGGAGGGAAAGAAGTGGTTCATCGTCACCCTCGCCGCAGTGGGCGCTACTACCTCGTGCGTGCCCGACGATCAAACGGGAGGAGGAGAGCTGATCAGGACAGACCGATCGGCTCCAACATTTTTGTCCCCGCGATTCCGACGATGAGCGACGCCTTTGGCGTCTCAAAGGCCAAGATCAACCTCACCATTGCCATCTACTTGTGAGCTAGTCGTCGCCTATTCCAGCTGACGGAACAGGGTGTTCCAGGGCCTGACGCCGGCTTTCTGGGGCGCGGCGGCGGACGTCTACGGTCGACGGTGAGTTTGCCATGCTCCCCTCGGAACTGACATCCAGGCCCATCTTCATCGGGACGATTCTCATCTTTACGCTCGCCGGTGTGGGTCAAGCTCTCTGTCCGACCAATGCGTACTGGCTCCTCTTGCTCATGCGCATCGTGCAGAGCTCCGGTGCCAGCGCGACGATAGCCATCGGCGCTGGTGTTATCTCGGACGTCGCCAGGCCGCAGGAGAGAGGCAAGTACCTCGGCATCTTCAACACATTATCCTGCTTCGGACCGACACTGGGACCGCTCCTCGGTGGTGTGTTTGCGGGCAGCCTCGGATGGCGGTCCATTTTCTGGTTCCTCGTTTGCATGGGCGGCGTCATCCTCGTGCCCATGGTACTGTGAGTTGGGCAATCCCTGTTGGTGCTAACTCTGCCCAGGTTCATGCCAGAGACACTCCGCTCGCTCGTCGGTGATGGCGGTGTCCCACCGCCGAAGTGGAATGACACGCCTGCCGGCTGCATCAAGAGGCGCAAGGCGCAACACGACCTGACGCCCGAGGTCAAGACACATCCGGACGTGAAGCAGACGAAGGTGAGCTCCTCTAGGTTGACTGCCAGCTGACGTGCAGTTCCAACCTCTGTCCTCTTTCCTGTTGCTGCTGCAGCCTGATCTGGTCATGTTTCTCCTTTGGTCCTCGGTCTACTACGCCCTGACGTATGCGATCTTGACCATCTTTTCGACGCTGCTCGACGATATCTACCACTTCAGCGAGATCATGATCGGCGTGGCCTACATGTAAGCTGCACGTGTGTTGCAGGGAAGCTGACGCCAGCTCCAACGGTTCCGGCGTTGCGATCGGTGGTATCCTAACGGGTTTGCTTATGGACAAGGTCTACCAGAAGGAGAAGAAGCGAGTGGGCGGAGACCACAGGACACATCCCGAGTTCCGGCTTGAGAAGGTGCGCCTATCGTTCCTCCCCTGGCACGCTGGCATGCTCGTCATTTCGGCAATTGCTATGGGATGGACGATGCAGGAGCACGTCCACGTCTCTGTCCCGCTCATCTTTACCTTCATTTGTGGTCTCGGCACCAGTCTGCTCACGACGACGACAATCTATGCCATCGACCTTGCGCCAGGTAAAGGTGGAGCAGTCACTGCTTCTGTGAGCTAAGAATTGCTGTACTGAGCTGACATCAGTTCAATTTCACGCGCTGCCTCCTTGGAGCAGTCGAAGTTGGTACCGTTCAACCCATGTTCAAGGCGATGGGCGCGGGATGGATGTTCGTGCTGCTCGCCGGCATCTGCGTACTCGTGACACCGCTCCCGATCATGGTCGCCAGGATAGGACCGCGTCTACGCAGGGAGCGTGCAGAGAAGGCGAAGAGACAAGAGGAGGAGCTTGCGCAGGAGCGCGAAGCTGCTGCCACTGCGGCGGAAGTTCAGGAGGAAGGGGACGAGAAGAGCAAAGTGTGAACTGAGTGCAGGATTTAGAGAATCTAGAACGCATCGAACGCATCAAATCTTGTTGTCAACAGTATAATGCAAGTGCTTGAACGTCTTGGATAGGCAGGGTTGGAGGAGGCTGCGAGCTGCGCGTGGTGAGGTGACAAGGCTCAGGTCGCAACGGCGCTAGACCATGCGAGGTGCAGGGTGCCATGCCTACCTTCCCTCCCTTCATCTCTCTTTCAACAACACTCACTCCACTCACATCAGTACAGTCTCCTCAAGACATACACATACGACCTTTACGACCCGAAACGACTCATACCATCCCCACGGATCGATACCACAACGTATCCACAGTTCACACACTCTTTCCCAGCTCTGGCAGCCTTTCCCCTACCCATATTCGCCACCTTCCCTCCTTCGCCTCCTTCCCTCCGGCCGCCGCGATGCCGTACAAGGATGCGTACGACACGCCTCGCGGCCGTCTAACGCGCATCGGCGCCTGGGAGTTGGGACATACCCTCGGCAGAGGAGCTTATGGTATGCTCACAGGCTAGTGACGAGCTGACACCAGCGCACGTCCGAATCGCCACCCACGTCCAGACACGAGAGCAGGTAGCATGCAAGATCCTTCCCGCGCTGCACTGGGATCCGAACATCGCCGCCGACTGGAACGCCACCCTCGACGCGGTTGAGGCGCACAAGGAGGTTGTCATTCTGAAGGCCTTCGCCGGGGCCAAGGTCCCCGGCGTCGTCGAGCTCGTCGGTGTGCTCGAGGAAGGTGGCTGGACGTGAGCTTCCTAACGTCAATTCATAGCTGACTACAGATACATGTTCATGCGCCTTTACACATTGTCACTGTCGAGTATCAGCATGCCGAACGAGGCCCACCTCCGCCCCTTCTTCGCCAAGCTCCTGCATACACTGCACACCATGCACCAGATCGGTATCAGCCACGATGACCTGAAGCGCGCCAATATCATGGTCGAGAAGTGTGGCACGCGCATTGAGCCTGTTCTTGTCGACTTTGGCTTCAGCCAGTTCTTCCCTCATGGCGGCCACCTCTTGAGCCTCGGTGGCACCTTCGATTATTCGTGTCCAGAGAAGATCGCTGTGAGTTGTATTGCTGCTGTCAACGGTTGACTGACAAACAGGATAGGCCCTATGATCCCAAGGCGAACGACGTCTGGTCCACCGGTATCCTCATGATGAAGGCGCTCGGGCTTGGCCATCCGTACCTCGATGGCACCGACGGCGACTCGGACCTTGGAAGAATGCGCATCGCGGCAGGTACCCCCCGTTGGAGGTGGACCAAGGAAGACAGGATCCCCGGCGGGCGCGGCGAGGTTATCATGGGTATGCTGGAGCATAACCCAAGCAAGCGTTGGAATGTGAGCTTGAGATGCGACGGTAGAGCTGACGGCAGATCCCCCGCATCCTTGAGCACCCCTACTTTGCCGACAACGGCCTGACCTCGCGCCGTTGAGGCTTCCCCCACTCCGCCTCAAGGCCAAGGTGCCGCGTCCTGTGTCACCCGGCGTGCTGCACGGCGTGTGCTTCATGGCGTACGTTCAGCATCAGTTCTTCCTGTGCGAGACGACTCATCGTATCGAGCGGAAGCTCTATGGTCCAACGCCCTGCTAGGAGCAGCGTTGGGCAAACATGCTGTACGAGTGGGAACGCGGCATGGAGCTTGAATGGGAGGACATTCAGGCGGCCAAGCTGCCTGCGGAGAGCAAGCGCAGTTGTAAGTTAGGCTGGCTGAACACGAAACTGACATCAGTCCCATCACGCGCACACAAGACCATTCCCACCCTGAAAGAGATCCACCTTTCACCTGTGAGCTTGAGGTGCTACCAGGAGCTGACTTTCAGGCCCCGAAGAAGAACGGCACGCCGGGCAAGTACGCAACTCCAACGAAAGCAGCACCCAAGCCTGCGACCCCCAGACAGTCTATGACCCCGCTGTCGCGCAAAGACATCAACACGCCACTGACCCCGTTGACCCCGGTCACGCCCGAGACTCCGCCTCCGCTGTATGAGGCTGCACCTCTGCTTGAGAAGGGCCGCTTGAAGGGCATGAAGGGTAGAGGTGTCCCCGATACCCCCGCGCGCAAGACGGCCGCAACCACCGGCATCGCCGCCGCCGTCGCCGTCAGCAAAAAGTCGCCGACCGAGCTTAAGCAAGTTGGCAGCGGTGGACGTCGCAAACTCGGACAGCCTGTCAAGGTAAGCTTGGGGGTTGGTGGCACAAGCTAACCTCAGATCCCTCACACACCGATGAAGACGCCTCCGCGCAACAGCCCTCAGAGCGACAAGGAGAACGTGCCCATCCGCCGCGCGTTTGTGGCCAAGACGAGCTTGTAAGCTTACAGTAGCTCATGGAAGCTCACTCCAGGCACCGCAAGCCGATCTCGCCGCCCGTCAAGAAGTTCAAAGGTGAGACCGCTACGCTGGCCATCGTCGCTGAAGCAAGACCTGACACTCCGCCCCGCGACGCCCGGCCCCGGTGCGCAACCGCGCCGCTCTCCTCGTTTCCTGTAGCCGTGTCTCCCCTAGCCAGCCGTTCGCGCCGGCAGCACGCGCTGTACTATGCCTAGTGACCTAATGACATGTAAATAACGTAACTCGTAACTGTGTGAAGTTTGTACAGACTGTATGATACAACTAGTGACTCAGTTCTTGATAGGGGTGGTTGGGCTGCGTTGGTGAGGGAGGGAAGCACCCCGACGCACCAACGGGACTGTCGATGGGCGACGGGATCGTGAACTGCGTCTGCGTACTCCTCGGACTCGGGTTGGGCTCACGAGGCACGAGCAAGAGGGAGGGCACCGAGTGCGCCTCATCGCCAACGCTGAGCGTGACACTGGGCTGCTGTCGATGACCTCGACTTCCTCCTCCATACGAACCCCCGACTCCACTACCTCCAGGAACACCTCCTCCATTGAGCCCCCTCTCGCTCCGGGCACTCTCATAAGAGTGCCGAGGTGACGGGACGAAGAATCCCTTGTCGTCCTCAGACTCAAGCTCCTTCTCCTTCTCCCGATCCGCGTCCATGGCACTAGCGATGCGTCCCAGCTCGCCCTCAGCCGCAGCATTACTAGGCTGAGTGGGCCGGAATACGCGCCCAAACTCGTTCTCGACGAGCACTCTCGTCTGCTCGCTGATGACGAGGAGCGCGTCAGACACGCTCCACGGCCGCACCTCGCCCTCGGCGTAGCCGTACACTGCCTGACAGGTCGCAACGGCGCGGTTGACCGCGTCGACAATCTCAGAGCTCGAGAGGGGCATGAGGAGCGCCTCGTTGTTCCCCCTCGTGGGGCGGGAGAGCGCCCACCCCGTGCCCGCTGCGCCGGCGACTTGGCTTGCTGGGCCGAGCAGGTGGACGATGGCGCCCTTCTCGGATCCGCGCAGGGGCTGGTCACTCGTGAAGCGCTTGTACCCCTTGCCCTGCTGGGATGTCGGGAGGCCGATACCTGGCGTAGGAGCGCTGGCGAAGGCGTCGAACAGCGGGCGGCCGGGGCCGGCGGCGGCGGAGCGCTGCTCGCTGATGGCCGCGAAGGAGGGGCGGGTAGGCGAGCCGGGCGGACTGTGCCCGGTCGGAGAGGGGGGTGTGAGGGGCGAGAAGGGAGATAGTTGGGAAGGGGACGAGATGGACTGGATCCTTGACAGGCGGGGGCGGAGCAGGTGCGGTGCTGGCGTCGGCGTGCCCGTTGAGCTTGGGCTGCGTGACGACGCCAAGGACATGGACGGCACGCGGGCACTCGGCCGTCGCGCCAGACCGCTGAGTGACCTTGCGGGAGAAGCATAGCGAAGCCGCGGCGAGCGCGGGCTCCAGTTATCACTGCCGTGGCTACTCGCCGAGCCTGGGCGACTGCCGTCGGCCCCGTGCATCCCCGCTAGAGTCGCCTGCACCTTCTGCCTCAGGGGGACATTCAGCGGCGTGCGGAAGAGACACAGCAGCTCGAACGTGGACCACATCATCCAGTCGACGACTCGCGGCTTGCGCCCGATCTTGCCGTGGAACGCCCCGCTGCCCTCTGCAATGCACTCGGCGACACTGGCTGAGACGTGTGCCCAGAGTCCCGTCACGGAGGAGATGGCGTCCGGGGCTCGGATCACGATGGCCTTAATTACCTGCAGCGCCAGGACGTGGAGGGCCGCGACGTGGAGTTGGGGCTGAGAGCGAGTACGCGCTTTCCGACGCCCGAGGACGGGATGGATGACCAGGCGAAGGAGACGGAGCCAGATCGCCTCATACCGTTTGCGGCCCTCGTCGCTCGCGGTTGAGGGCGGCTCGAGAGCTAAGGCGAACGGGAGCACGACACCAGCCAGCAGTCCGGGCGACATAGAAACACGCTCAAGGACGCTGAGTGCGTCGCACCCGCGTAGGAAGACGGCGGCGGAGAGCAGCTCGATGGCGGAATGGCGCATGGGCACGATGAACGCGAGTGAAGCCTCGGATGCCAGGGCCAGCATGCGCAACGCCGGCTCGACATACTCGTATGCTACTAGCGCTGTCATCTCGGCACTGAGCTCGGGACCGCTACCCTCAGACACGGACCTGATGTGCGCCGCGAGCGCGTCGAGCACACTGCTGAAGTCAACGGTACCAATGTGCTGGCGGTACAGCGGCGCAATGTGCTTCATGAACGCGTAGGGGTCCTTGCTCTTGAGACTTGCTCGCGCGAGACTTCCCAAGATGCTCGACACGGCGGGTGTACCGCGCGGACTAGCGCTTAGAAGGCTGTTGATGATGGCCAACAGCCGCCTTGTGGCCGTACCGGGGAGGACGCCGCCTGCCGTGGCATACGCGTCAACGAGAGCGACGTACTCCTGATAAGCTGCCGTCCAGTCCGCTTCACCTGCGTCCTCACCGGGCTCGAAACGCAGGAGGATGCTCTCATCAGATGTCGCGCACTTGGTGTTGATGAACCTGCCCAGGGCGTCGATGCCCTCGCGCAGGAGTTCGCGGGTACGCTCGTCGTCGTCCTTCATCATGCTGGGCACGAGGAGCGTGAAGAGCTTCAGGAACTTGATCGCGCGAGGGCTGGCCGCGTTGAATGCGATGACCGTGACGAGGAAGCGCACGATGTTGGCTTGCGGGAAGAGGATCGGCTCCAGGTTGATATTGGCCGCCTTCTGGGCTTGACGCTCAGCGACAGAAGTCCTGATCTCAGCCAGCGTGATCTCGGGGCCAGCACTGATCATCTGTACGAGCGCTTCGAGTTCGTACGCATCGTTCAGGCCGCGGATGCCCGAGGCGACGCCAGACGCGGGTCCGTTTGGCACGGACAGACATGAGAGGAGCTGGTACGCCGCCTCGGGGTCGAAGGGGCTCTCGCAGATCGCCAGGAAGGTTTGGTAGATGAACGTGTCCTGGTGGATGCGGTAGAAGGAGCGGCACGCGTACTCTATGCAGTCGCGAATACCGGGCGTGCCATAGACATAGAGGACGTAGAGTTGACGCATGAGATCGACGAATCCGATGGATCCGAATGCACGGCGGAAACGCGCACTGCACAGCGACAGGGCGACCATGGCCTGGCCCATCATGATGATGTCGCTTGCTCCATGGAGGGCGACGACCTGGGTAATGTTGCGGACAAAGTGACGGAGTTCAGCGCGGTCGTTGTAGTTGGAATTCAGGCAGCGGAACATCTGCACCACCAGCAGGAGCCATGCACGTGCAAAGGGGAAGTGGCGGAAGGACGCCTGGACCTGGAGGTTGAACAGCATCTTCTTGATGAGGTAGACATCGCGCGGGTTCGACCGCAGGATCGACTCGAGAAGCACGAGCTGACCAGTCTGCACATCGAGATACGCATTGCGCCACGGCTGGTGAATGCGGAACGCGCCTTGGTCATCGTCATAGATCGAGGCGGGGAGGAGGGCTGCCTCGCTCTTCGTCTTGCGGACATCGCGCAGACTCAGCTCAGACACATGCGGGACGATGCGCGACAGCGTACCCAGCAACACGGGCCAGTGCGCAAACTCGGCATTGTCCTTGACGTTCAGCTTCAGATAGCCCGCGATAGCGTTCAGCGCTGTGTAGGCGTAGCTCGGCGTCGGGTCCTGGATGACAGAGTTGACGCGGCGGAGCGCCTTGTCGAACTCGCTCTGCAAATTTTCCGTGAACGCGCGGGCAAAGTGTCCCGGGTCCTCGCGCTCGAACATCCGCACCAGCTCCTCGCTTGACACTACGACGAGCGAGTCGTCAAAGTTGATGAACATGCGCGCTTGATCGTTGACAAGGCGTCCAATGATGGGAGGAAGGACGGCACGGTGCACGGTACCTCCGCGTGACTTGACGGCGCGCAGTGACTTTGATCGTTTCGGCGCCTCCTGGCTCCCGCTGCTGGAACGCTCCAGCTTGGTCGACTCGGCGTACGATTCCGCCGGAAGGAGCGTCACCGGTACGCGCTCGTAGTCGTGGATTGTGAGTTGCGAGTCCTCGTTCCAGCCCAGGTCCCACAGTCTCTGCCTGAGCTCGAGGGGCAGGGAACGGCCATACTTCTGCAGCTGGGCGTCCTGCGCCTCGCGCGGCGTGACCCACACGCTTGATCCCATTTCGGCCATGACAAAGTCGAGAATGCGCGCGTTGAAGCGGAACAGAGGACCACGCTTCGCATCAGTCACCGTCTGTTGCGTGAACACCTGGTATCGGTACCCGTACAGTGTGGCGAGCTTCAGCAGGGCCTCGAGGTGTTTCGCCGAGGAGGGGTTCTCGAGGTCTCGCGTGACGATAGACCGGACGGCCTCGGGCAGCTGCTCCGCACACTTCATCAGCAGGAACGTGAGCTGTTCCGTCGGCTGTCCCATCACGCCGTACCGTGCCCAGAGCACGGGCAGAAGCTTGAGCCAGTCATCCTTGCTCATGCTCGCTTGCACTGTCACGAGAGCAGACGACAAGGCCCTCTCCACAGTCCGGTTCAGCACGTCCTGGCGTTCGGGGCCGAAGGCGGCAAACTCGGTCGTGTACAGCGAATGCAGGATGCGGAGCTGCGTGCCCTCTGCTGCACTCCCAATGGTGGGGTGGAGCACATCCTTGCCGCCCGTGAACCATTTCACCAGCAGACGCGTCGCAATGGTGCGCTTGACCCAGGCGGACGAGAAACGCAGGCGTTCAAACAATTGGCACAGTAGCGCGAGGTACCCCTGCGGATGTGGTCCGCCGACTTCCTCCATCTCGAGCACTGCGGCAAGCTTCGTCTCGAGCTGCGTCAGGAAATCCTTCATACCCGAGCTGGAGGGGAGCTTGCGGGCGCTAAGTGCCAGAATCAGCTCGACGAGCACGGCGTATCGACCCAACTTGACGTTGACTGTCGGCAAATCCTCACTCTCAGCCTTGCCCTTCCCCTTGGCCGGCTGGAGGGAGACATTGCCGACCAGGACGACCATGACCATCTGCGGATCGGCTTGCGTCCAGAATCTATCTGGTCCGACGATACGCTGCAGGTTGATGACGACCTGAAGAGGACCGGCGAGGGACGCCTTGTGGGTCGCGGCGGCGGTCGAGAAGAGCGGCTTGTAGAAGAGCTGCGGGTGCCAGGACGCGAGCCAGTTCAAAAACGTGACGAGAGCTGGGTCAGAGGCATCAGCGGCCTTCAGCCGTTTCAGTACGTGCGGCACCGCCGCGCGACCAGCCTTGACGAGGTCGCCGCCAAGGAACTTGCGGAGTGCAAACTGTACCACAGCCAGCGGCGTCGTGGCAATCACGCGCGCGGCAGCTTCGTCGACAACACCCTTCGGCGCGCTCTCAAGGAGATGGACCAGGCGCGCATGGTTGTCGCTGAAAGCCTGGGACGTGGGGCTAAATGGGTCCTCCGTCTGGCGTTGGTGGCTCTTGATCTCAATGTCGAGCAGGAGGGAGAGGTAGCAGGCAGCCACCGTATCGCTCTTGTACTCCACGCCGCGGACCTGCTCATATAGCAAGTCGCCCCAGAACGCGACGCTGGGGATGAGGTCCTCGTCCTCGTGTCCCTTGACGACGACGGAGAACGAGTTGAAGAACTCGACAGCAGCAAGCGCGCGCAAACTCTGCATCGCGATCGGTGCTTTCTCGCTGAGCGGGGGCGGAAGATAGCGCTGAATGTCAGTTCGAGATCAACTGGTGAACTCACCTCAAGGACGGCTCCGCGATCACGCAGCAGCCAATCGCCGAGCTCTAGCTCCGTGTTGATAGCACGGCCAACTGCGAGCCACAGCATTTCATGTTCAATACCAGAGTTGACTTTCTCGATCTCGAGTCCTGGGAGGAGGTCCATCAGACTCTCGACCGAGATGCGGATGACCTCGCCAGCAGCGAGGTCCGTCAGCAGCCCGGCTGCCATCTGCACCTGATCCTCGGCACGGGCGGGCGTGCTCTCGAGTGCGTGCAGGAGAGCCAGGAGCGCGATCGTGATACTTTCAAAGTCGAAAGCTGTCGAAGGGGCGTACGACGCCTTTGGCAACGCCGGGTTGGCGTGCAGCAGGTCGACGAGCAAGGGCAGACCACGTCCACGGAGCACACGATCTTCAATGACAAGCGCGCGACAAAGCCACAACCACCGCGCAAGCTCCTCGTCCGTACTGTCCGTGGCCCAGTTGCGCACCACGGTCCCGAACACCTCGAGGGCCTGGGCACGTTCGCCATCCGTCGAACTCGCATCCGGGATGAATGTGACGCCGAGTTCAGCGAGGATAGCTGAGTGATGTGGACAGGTACGCGACCAGACGCGCTTTGCGCGCGCATCGGGAAGGTGCCGGTGCAGCTCCATCAGGAAGGGGGCGAAGGCGGAGACGCCATCGTCAATGTCGGTGCGATGTGTCGACTGCGCTGAGTAGCCGATGCGGAAGTGGTGTGTCGAGTGCGCGCGCATCGTGCCGTTCGGCGTTGGACCGGGCGTCTGGTTCTTGCCTGCCATACGACGGAGTCGGCGGCAGCTCTCCTCATAAGCACACTGGTCGAGACAGATACAAATGTCGCGGGCGAAGCGACGGCGCTGGCGTGAAGCCTCTTCGCGCTCTTGGTCGTTCAGGGCGACACCGAGCGTGTCCCACGACATTTGCTCTGCCGGCGTGTGGTTCAGACCCATGACAGACTCGACGGCGGAGCGCAGCCCGAGACGGCTCGCGGCCATGCCTGCCGCCTTGCCCGCCGCCTTCGTCACAAAGGCAAGCTTGCCCTTCGGTTGCGGTTTCGGTTGCGGTGCCATACGCTCGTTAAGCGGAGTCGGCGCGGTGAGGACGTGCTGTTTGACTTGTTCCCAATGGGCCTTACCCGGTGAGACTTCTTGGACAGCGGGGGCGTTGGCGAGGTTGGTGATCACCGACAATCGGGGGAGCTGCGGCTTCTCTGTCGCAGACGCCTTCCCGAACGTGTCGACTGATGCCTTGGAGGACATCGCGCTTGCCGTGTACAGTTCTTCCGTCGAATAGTTGTTCACGTTGACCGTTGAGTCGGACGCTGAGGTGGAGGCTGATGGTCGCATGGATGCCGGGGTCGCGGTGCGTGGTGTCTGAGACAGCGTTTCGACACTGTCAGCGAACGTGCCCAGCTTTAGCGTGCTCGGCGCCGTCGCGAAGCTGGCTCCATCCGAATCATATCGACTCAAGGACAGCTCCGATCCCTGTAGACTGTGATACACTGGTGCCGGTGAGCCATTCGCCGAATCGTCCTCCAGTAGCGTGTTCAATGGCGCACCAGTGCTGGGCGGCAGCACCTCGCCCATAGCCCGAAAGGAGTTCTGGGATCCGTTAGGGTGAGTCGTGAGGCGTGCCGAGCCGTTGATTCCGTTCAGCGCGGCGTCGACGTGTTGCAGGAGGTCGGCATCTGTGCTACTGGTGCTGGGGGACTGGCCGTTAGCCCGCCCTCCCCTGGTGGTGGTGGAAAGAGCGTCTGGCGGTGCCTTGGAGGAAGCCAAAGCACCCGGCGGTTTCAGCGGCTGGAACGATACGGGAGCGCCGGGATCACCGTGATGGTCGACCGAAGCGACCGGGCTGACGGTGAAGCCATCTTCGGATTCGAGCACGGCGTCGAGGGCGGATCGTAGCTCTTCTGAAGCTTCGCTGAGACGCCCTCTTGTTTTGGAAGGGGGTCTGCTGCCATTGAGACTCGGAGGATCGTCTTGGCTTCTGCGGATTGGCGCCGCACCGTTTGAAGAGGCGGCGGGCGCCATGGAAGTCGAGTTGCGGTCGCTGGGGTCGTGCGGGATGAAAGTTGGGAGACGGTGACGAGGAGGTCACTCGGTGGACAGACCTCCACATCGTCTCGTGCGGTGCAACGTCCATCTGGTGGCGACGGCGACAACGGAGGCTAAATGACCAGCCTGATTCCTTGCCGGTTGCAACCTCGGCTGCTCCCCGAGCTGTTTCCTTCCATGCATCATGAGACGGTCAGCGACGAGAACAAGGATCACAGAGGCGAAGGGAACGTGAAATGCATGGTAACTCTGCCTCAGGATCGTCGAGGAGCGAAGACATTGCGAGCGTCACTCAGTTCGTGACGAGACTGATTTCTGCGCATCGACGCGGGCAACATTCTGGACACCCCGAGACGAGCAAGGCGGTGTAGTACTAGGTCCTTGCAGCTGTACCTCTCGGGCGACCTGACTCCTGAGTCCCCTGGTTGGTGCAGAGGAACGTGCTGACGTTACACCTGGTACACACCTGATGTTTCGAGTGACTATGCAAACTGTGACATTTTCGCCAGCACCAGCCACTGAGTAGGAGCGGTTATGCATCCCGCTCCTGCGTCTGATTGGGGAAGAGTGGGTGGAGATAGGCGAGGTAGATGCCGGGATGTCGGCCCCCGTTGGGCCGGGACTGAATTACGATGTCGGCGGCGGGAAGAATATGCCGAGTCGAGGTGCGAGCGAGCGAGCGAGATCAAGATCAACAACATCATCACTCATCACGACTCATCATGAGCGCCGGGTACCTGCCCCCACCACAACTCCCGACGACAGACCAGGGCCGCCGTATCTGCCAGGTCATCAAAGTTCGCCCCGAGCGCCTCGAGGAGTACAAGAGGGTGAGTCGCTCTGCTGTTTAGATCCTGCGTATGCTCTGATCCGGACGCGTGATATCCGTGATGCTGCAATTGAGAGACCACCCGAGTCCCCGACTGTCCGACTTCCGGAACAAGGGAGCCCCCCTGCGTCCCATGCACGATCTAGGCCCCGGAAGCCTCTCTGATGTCGAGTCAGGAATGGTGATATGGGACGCACGACATTGGACGGGTCTTGCGCACGAGGTTGAGCTCGGACTCTCTTATAAGGAGAGAGCAGGAGAGCTTGGGAGGGGTGGAACAGGGTGGAACGCGGTGGCTCTCGCAAGTTGTCGCAAGACGGCAGGGAGGAAGGGAAGGCCAAGGGGTGGCTTACTCCGAGTCTGGCCGGGAGATGGGTCCTGGCTTCCTCACTGCTTCCTGCAAAACGCATACCGCGCGGTTTCAACGCGTCCTTGCGAGACTGCGCGTAAGCGGCTGACGCGGACAGGTACATGCCACGGTGTGGCCGGAGGTTCTTGGCGCCCTGCGTCGCGCGCACATTGTTGGTAAGTCTGCGTCCGGCTGACGCTACCTGCTGACTGCTGACTGCGGTCGGCTTCCGGGGCGTGGCCAGGCGTTGCGGCCCGGGACGCCAGCTATTCAGAAGCTCGTACCCAGCGACAAAGCGGCTGACACCAGACTACTCGATCAACTTCTTTGAGCCGATGAGTCTCCTGATTGCTCACATGAGGTACATCGGTGACGACTTTGAGGCCGACATGGCGTCCATCAAGGACTGCCCCGTGACGCGGCGGTGGTGGGAGCTGACGGATGGGATGCAGGAGAGCCTTGTCCCAGGCGCAACGGGGAGCAAGGACGGACCGTGGTGGGCCGACTGCGAGGAGGTGTTCCGCATGGAGGGATAGGTGTAGTGCTGCCCACACTTCATACTTCCGCTGGAACATTCGGTAGCGCTGGGTGATACCTGCTGTTCCGATACCGTCCCGGAAGAACCACATGCCCGAGAACCAAGGCGGCCAGGCGAGTACCAAGGCTGGCACCAAGGCCGCTATCAAGTCACCGCGCACCCGATGTTCCTGTTCCTTGGCCGGCTATCACGACCAAAGACGGATTGTTCCGTATGCACATGATAGAACACAGTTTGTGGCGTCCGTGGTCCATTGTCCACAGACAGTTGCCCCGCACTTCTTGGGTCCGGTTTGGGCGCGGTTCCATGACACACACCCGAGTTGGAAGCGCTGACGCGACTCGTGACTGCTGATGCGAGATGAGGCCGGTTCCTGGCTGTTCCTAAGGCTCCCATGATTCCTGCGCAACCCCGCGAGTTTGATGTTCCGTTCCTGCGACTCGGCTCCGGGCCAGTTCAACTACCGTGCGACCTACAACGCGTTCCAGTTTGCGATCCGCGGCGCATGGCTGCGCCGCCTGGTGTCGCCACTTCTCCACACCATGTGCTCGTGGTTCTGGCTTCTGAGCACGATCGACAAGTGGCGGCGCGGACGTGCGCTTCGTGTGCACGGCACAGACAGGCCCCGCGGTCCCCTGGCAAAGTCGTCCGACGCGCACAACGACAAGCGCTGGCTGGGCCCCGAGGTCCGCCGGACCTACGTGTACAGCGACGAGGACGCGCTTATCAAGTCGTCGGACGTCGAGGCGCACGCTGCCGAGGCAGAGGCGCGCGGCTTTGTTGTGCGCCGGGAAAAGTTCACCTCGCCGCATGTTGCACATGCGCGTGATGACCCGGAGCGCTACTGGCGTATTGCCAAGGAGACGTTCACAGGTACCGACCCCGTAGAAGACACCCAGCCCGAGGCAGACGCGGTCAGCCAGCCCGAGGCAGAGGTGACCCTTTAGACACTTTCGATGACCATCCTGCATCTGTTTATACAACTGATTTCGACCCTTACTGGGCAACCTTCTTCTCCCTCTCTGCAAGCACCTTGCGAACGCCCGGCAGAATGTACCGCCCATAGTCGACCGCGTCGTTAAAGTTGTCGTACCCGCGGATGGAAATCAGTTCGGCACCGAGATCAACATAGTCGACGAGCGAGTCAATGACAGTCTGGTACGAGCCGACAAGCGCGGTGGACGCGCCCTGCGCGTTGGTGGCCGTGACGGTCGGGTACCACAGCGCGCGGTCCTGGACGTCGCCGCGCTTGGCAATCTCGAGGAGACGTTGCGAGCCGACATTCTGCGGCTCGGGCGTCTTGCCTGGAGGAGCACGCGCAAGTCCGTTGGCCCTGTTGCCATTGAGCGCGTCGAGCGTGGCGTGAGCCTTTGCCCAAGCTAGGTCGTCCGTCTCGGCAATGATGGGGCGGAACGTGACCCAGATGCGGGGGCGGTCGGTCGGTGCGCGACCAGCGGCGTCTGCCGCGGCGTAGATGCGGTCAATCTGCTCCTTGGTCTCCTTGAGCGGCTCGCCCCAGAGGCCGAAAATGTCGCCGAGAGCGCCGCCGATACGGTACGCCTCGTCGGATGAGCCGCCGACAGACACTTGAATCTTCTTGAGCGGGAGCACGCCATTCCGAAAGTCCTTGAACTTGAAGTACTTGCTGTCCCAGTCAAAGGGCTCGGACGACTGCCACGCGCGCTTGAGAATCTTGATATAGTCCTCGAGGCGGCCGTACCGCTCGTCCTTTGAGAGAAAGTCGCCCTCACGCGCCTGCTCGGCGTCGCTCCCGCCGGCGATAAAGTGCACGACGACGCGACCCTGGCCGAGCTGGCTCAGCGTCGCGAGCTGCTTGGCCGCCACAGTAGGGTAGAGTGTGTTTGGACGAAGCGCAATGATAATGTTGATCTTCTTGGTCGCCGCGAGCACGGTGGCACCCAGCGTAAAGGGATCAAACCCGCCAGAGTGGTACGGGATCAGGGTGTAGTTGAAGCCATAGTCGTCCAGGACACGCGCGTAGCGAACCGTAAACTCTGGGTCGACCGGCGCGCCCGGCTTGGGGTTGAGCTCGTTCGAGTCGTTAGGAAAGGTGACGCTGATAAACTCGGTGGGCATTGTGGGGATCGTGAGAAGAAGCTGCACAGACCTGTACACGGCAGCCTTTAAAGCATGGCCACTGCTACACGCGTCGACAATGATTATTCATACTCGCGCGTCATCTGCAACATGGATGGTGGACTGTTTCGGTTTTGGGGGTTAGCCAAAGTGACGCCATGCGTCTCTGGTTGTTCGTCATCCATTTCAACAATGAAAATGCGTGCCTACATACCCCCGTGACTACCATGACTACACCCTACTTGTTCTTCCTGTTGACCTCTGCCGGCTTGACGAGGTGCAGCATGATCTTTGTGGTATTGGTAGGTAGCACGCCACCGTGGCCCTTGGACCAGTCGTACGAAAGTGCGTATGCGAGAATGTCGTGGTTGGCGTTAAAGCTGACAGACACGATGGGGGTGCCCCACACTGGCGGTTGCGCGTCTGGATCACCGTTGCCGAGCTCCTTTGCGGAGAATGCTAAGAGGTTAGACACTATCCAGAGAAACCTTGGCACACTCACCATGCAGCTTTGTTCGTGCGATACCGTCCCAGAACACGAGCGAGCCGTCGCCGCCAGCCGTGCAAAACGTCCCTTGGCCCTTGTGGAACGTGATGGCGTTGACGGGAAAGATGTTTTGGGAAAACTGGGCACCCGGCGCCGGGATTGCCTTCTTCATGTCCAAACGGTGGCACTTGAAGGAAAAGCTCTTCTTCTCAACGTCGAGGTCTTGGAACCCGACACGGCCCTCGATGGACCCGATGGCGTAGCCCTGGCAACCGACGGATGGCGGAAAGCAAGAAATCACGCGCGTCTGCCACTTGAGTGGACTCTCCACGACCCGCGGCTTTCCCCCCGGGTTGTTGAGATCAAAAATGTGCACTTGACGATCGGCAGTGCCGACCACACACTTTTGGTCGGTGGCATCCATGGCGTACGCCCGCTCCCACAGATCCTGTGTGGCCACGGGTGTCGGCGACCGCAAGTCCCAGTACAGGACAGTCAGTGACCAGAACTTATCCTGCCTCTCTCACCTTGAGCTTCTTGTCCCACCCTGCAGTGATAAGAATCGTCTGGCCGTTGATCTCGACACACTCGACACATTTGATCGCGGCGTCGTGCGCTTGTCCCTGCTCGGGGTACCGTTGCGCCTGGCCAGAGTTGACGTCAAACATGCGTATCACGTTGTCGCACCCGACCGAGAAGAGGTGGGAACCGCTCTGAACAGTCAACTGCCAGCGCACACAAGACGCGCTCACCTTTGTCCACGCCAGGTCGAGCACTGGCCCCTCGTGCTGGTACCAAGCCCGGGGTTCCGACTGGCCCGTGCTGTTCACATTGTATAGACGAACCTGGGGAGGAGTCAGTAATGCCCAAATGCCAGACCCTCACGCTATTGTCCCAGCTTGCCACGGCAAGAATGCTCTGGCCCCCCGGGGAGAACAATATCTTGGAAACAGACTCTGTGGGGGGCTGGACGAGCTCAATGTCCTTCTGGACTGGTCGAAACGCCGAGCCCATCATCTTGGGCAGCGAATGAGAAGGGGTGTCGGCCAAGGGCAATGCACGCGTGGAACTGGAGTGGAGACTGTGGGACAAGGAATTGCGAGGCAGAGGTGTAGCGAGGGATGCAGGTCAGTCAAGGTTGTTGTTGTGATGGACGAGTGCACGGACGGTGTTGTCGCAAGTTGGTGACGGCACCGTAGTCGCGCGTTTGTGTTGTGAACACGTGGTATTACATAACATGAATGACTTGGTCACGTGATAATCTAGTCGAGCTCGGCCAGCGAGAGGCCAGCGGGCATGCAGAACCGTACGCGTGCTTTGCTCCGTGGTGCTGCGAGTGGGGGAGCAGGTCCTGCAGTCGCCTGAGCAGGGTGGGGAGGTAAAGTGGCCGATGGTTGCAGACGCCCCGGCAGAGGAGTCTGCGGCGCATCGTCGTGTGGGTGATCCGCGCCAAAGTGTTGTGTGCTGCCCTCGTCGTGGTGAGCAGCGCTGTTGTGCGGCAGCGGTTCCCAAGGGGGCGCCCACGGAGAGAGAGAGGAGCGTTGTTCTTGGTGGACGGAAGCCGCATCTCGGCGGCCAAACTTAACAGCTGCCGTTTCTCGCCGTGGATGACCGACGAGGGCTGGTCCAGCAAACGACGCTGCCGGACGTTGGTCCCATGCTGGAACATGATGTACCCGCGGTGCATGTCAACGAGGGGGAGGTCGGCAGCGTGAGCTGGCCGCTTGCGGAGCTCGTCGTAGAGCAGGTTGAGCGCCTCCATGGTCGCCTCAAACTCCTTGTCGCTTTCCTCGGCGTACTCGTGTGTCATCTTGCATTGTGGTGTCTTTGTTGTCTTGACGATGAGGCTGTTGATGTCCTTGTTTGACATGCGCTGGACAATCGCGGATAGCCCGCATGGCTCGTCTGCTGCCAACATGCTGGTGGTGCACCCAAAGACGTCAAAGTCGGCATAGTCGGGGTGCGGGCACGCGCCGGGACGTAGGAGCTCGTGCGTCCACTTGACCATCCTTTCGTCGCGGTCGACGGTGAGAGCTGGAAGAGGCATGGCGATACGAGACAAAGTGAGTGAGAGACTGTGAGCAAAACAATCGTTCCAACTATGCATCATGTATCGCTGGGGGTGAGTGCTGGCTGGCGGGGGCGACGAGGGCGACCTGTATGGTGGTTGCGACGTGCAACAACAACAACAAGAGAAGCAGTGTTGCACACAACAGTATATGATGCACTAACACAAGTTAGTTGCCGAGCATGCCGAGAAGCCGAGAGACGCCACCCAGATCTTTGGAGCGCTAGACGCCGGCGCCGGCGCCGGCTGCCGACTGAAAGAACAATCCACCTCGGGCACGGTCTGCCAGGCAGAGGCCATGTATTGCCAGGCCAGAGCATGCATGCATGCATGCATGCATGCACTTCTTGCCCTGAGGGGCGACACCGGGCCGGAAAGCTTGCGACTTGCCGAAAGGTGGTTAGTGCCTTCTGTCACCCAAGCGCTCTTGCTCGTTCTACCGCTATCCAGTCCATGGACTGCTCGCGGGATGGCACCGGGATGTCGCTGCGGTGGACCACGTTGATTTAGAGCTTTGGAACGCACGAGTGCACGATACGATGAAACCCGTAGTCGCGACAGCTGGGGACGCACCCAACTCGCCACAGGAGATGACCGAAGACTTAGTGCTGAGCACCCATGGGCGCCGAGCCATGAGTCTTTGGGCGGCGTGGAGTGGTCATGGTAGCTGGCTGGAATCCCCACCCTGTCCCAACTTGTCCCATTTTGACCCATGTCCCATCGTGTCCCATTCTTGTATGGTTCCAAACCCAAGTGTTTTAGGTCCATCAGTCGCCCTGCCCTGCCCTGACGCACGCCGGGCGGAGGAACGCACCGGTCATCACAAGACCCGGCAGGTTCTTTTCATTAAATCGGCTTGGCTTCGCCAGGTTATAAAGAACACACTCCGCTTCGGTCTCCGCCCCACCACGACCACCATCTACTGTACTTCACCACCACCATGGCCGCACCCGCTACCAAGACCATTGCCAACATCAGCGGCAGCTGGGGCATGGTACGTCGCGCGCCGTCACATCCGCTGACATGTTAGAACAAGAGCCTCTCCGACTCGACCGACGCCGTCCTCGCGCTTCAAGGCATTGGATGGGTCACTCGCAAGACGATCGGTGCCGCGGGCCTGACATTGGCCATGAAGCAGTACACTGCCAAAGACACCGATGGTGAGCACGACTTGGTCTATTTCCCTAACACACCAGGCAAGGAGCCCGACTCGGCGTGGCTCGCCTCGGGTCCCTCCTCCGAAGAGTCTGTCGTCATCCACTTTGACCAGATCATCACTGGCGGCCTCAAGGGCACCTCTGAGACGCGCTTCGTGAACGGCCTTCTGCACGACCACACCGACTGGCTGTTCGGGACCGTCTCGACACAAAACGTGTTCCGCGAGTACGCTGAGATTGTCGCGCTCGATGATCTGCACCTCGCGGGCCGCGGAAAGCAGGGGCCGTGGATCGACGACGGCACCCCCATGCTCATCACGCAGGCCCGTTCGCCCAACGGCTGGGTCGCCATACAGACCTGGGGTTTCCAGAACATTGCTGTCAACGGCACCACCGAGCGCCGATTCGCACGCAACATTGTGGTCACAAAGGGCAAGGACCGCGTCGAGATCCGTCTCGTGTACGACTTCCTGGGCGAGCTTGCCGCCTAAGGCCGGGAGGAGAGATTTGGACAATAGCAGAGGAGCAGCAGGGTCAGCAGTAATGGTATGTACGATGGATACCGTGTACGGATGGCGGCGAGCACTGTGGCGACGCTACCACATCAATGAGACTGCCATAGAGTCTCTGGCGGCGACACTACCACATCTATCAGAACCGCATCTCATCGGCCATTTACAGACGAACACAAGTACATTCAAAGCTACTCGCTACAGTGCACGACAGTCTCTCACAGAGAGACGGCCCGTGGAACAACTTTGCTCTACTTGGACCCCTGCGAGTCCATCGTGTGCGCGCGGGAACGACGCAGCGGGCGCTCCGTCGTCGCTGCCGCCGCCACAACTGCCCGGTGCTCGGCACTGCCAAAGCTCGCACGGCGGGACGGAACAGAAACAGGAGCTGCGACCGGAGACTCGACCTCGACATCAACATCGGCCTCCGGCTTGGGTGCCTCGCGCTGGCACTCGAGCAGCATGGCGATCCGCTGAGCGTGCGTAAAGCCCGGAGTGTAAGCACGGATCAGAGGCCAGATCTCCTGTGGGGCGAGCATCTTGCGGAACCAGTCCGGAAGATCCGAGGCCTGCAGGGTACGGCCATCTGCCATGGCGAGCAGGATCATGACCCACGCCGCGTCGCCGCAGGAGTAGGCCACGGCGTACGCGGCGACCAGCACCTGGAGCTCCTTGGCCGCCTTGGCATTCAGCTCGCACTTCAGACCCGCAAGGCGCGGGTACACGGTAAACTGGCTGAGCATGCGGTGCAGGTTGGCCATGCGCCCGACCCAGTACTCGTTGTACGCGGACGTGTCCTTGGGGAGGTCAAACTTGCCCATGAGGATCTGGCACAGCAGGCGGACCATTTCCGAGCTTTCAACGACAGGGTTGGTCATGGTGTGAAACTCGTGTCGCCAGCTGCAGGCGCCGTACTGCTGCTTGAAAAAGGTGCTAAAGGTTGAGCTCGTGTAGTCATTCTGGGCACTCACCTAGCCTTGTACAGGACCTTTGAGGGCACGCGAAAGTGCTGGCCCTGGGAGCTCACCAAGGTGAACGAGCCCGTCCGCACAGCGGGGCGGCTCGCCTTCTTCCCGGCCTTCTTTGGCTCGGTCTTGGCCTCCGACTTGGAACACTTGGGTTGTGTCTTGGAGTTGTTAGCAGCCTTGGGCATTGTTTTGATTTGATTATGTGAATGAACGGTGGGGGTCAGCAAAGGCCACACATGCGCGACTTATGTATGTGCTAATCATGAACTGGCGACGTCCACTGGGGTGGATGAAACACGCATGTTGGAAGTGTGCGGTGAAACACCAATGTTGGCAGCGTGCGACAGTAGTGTAGCTGTTCTCATCGGCTTCTCCTCGTTCAGATGCCCAACGACTATGCAAGACATGGGGCGTTGCCACACGACGATATCGATATCTGGACAATCAAGACATGGATGCCGGTATATATCATGATATAGCAAGTGTACTACCGCTTTCGTTTGTGTCCGTCCTCGCCGTTCGTCGCTCCTGTTGCAGACGAGAGGGTCCATGTCTATCACTCAGGAGCACAGAAGACGCCCGCAGTGACCGCACCTACGGGCGGCGATGAAACAAGATCTTGTCGCGGAAGGATTTGTTCCTCCGAAGCACAGGTTCATCTAACGTTAGCGAGGGAGAGGGCCCAAGGCGCTCTTCTTGCAGGTCACTCGTTCGACACAATGTACCCGGAAGGGTTGACCTTGGCCCATGGCGGAAGGCACGTCGAGAAGAAAGTTGCTGAAAATATATCATAAAAATCAACCAAAAAGTGAGAGAAAATATCCCGCATTAGATTGAAAGGTTCCAGACACTGGGGGTGAGATCATGTTGGGGTAGAGCTGGCAGAGTGAACAGAGGGCTCGTTGAAGATACTGGGCTATAGCATCTGTTGAGAGATTGAAACGTAGCAGCATGGTCCAGGAGGCAGGGTTGCCCGCGGGAGTTCATTCAAACTTCTGGAGTGAGAATCAAGATGCAAGGCTGAGCTGTCAGACTCGATACCAGACTCAACCTATACAAGCTTCACTCTGAACGATGCAGTAGTGATCGAGGTCCAGGCTCTCTCTATCTCTCTCCGCGCGGCAGTACAAATGGGAGTGGTCCCGGGGTGGAGCCTTGTCTCATACCAAATGAGGCACAGAGACACTGCACTGTCATTCACAACAACCAACTCTTGTTACATCACACTATGAGCATCTACACTCGTACAATACACTCATCGTCTTATTCTGCACGAACTCCCTCTCGGCCCCAGAGGCCATCGCCAAACAGGCCGGCATCGAATCCGCTCCTCCAGTGCCGCAGTGCCGTGAGCGTCTGGTCCACATACCGGTCGGGCTCAGGCCCCATGTCAACCTCAACGCTAGCCCTGCTTCCAGCAGCCGGTACCCAGAGGCGCGCAGCAGCACTCTCGGAGGGCAAGTCCTCCAGCATGCTCCGCGACGCGGCCGCCCCAATGCCCAGAGCGCGCGTCTGCTCGCGCGCATAGTCGGTGACGGTAACCAGGCGCATGCCGTGCAGCTTGCCCCAGACGCTGCTCGCACGCTCGCCCTCGGCGTAGGCCCAGCCTTTTTCCTTGCGCACCGCATCTGCGCACACGGCCACACCCATGGCGAGCAGGCAGCCCAGCTCGCTCTTGTCCCGCGGCATGCCCGGTGGGAGGCCGAGGAGAGTGGGCGGCACAGCGTCCAGACCGACCCATGTTATGCGTGAGGTTTGGAGTTGGTTGGCGAGCCGAGTCAAGAGGCCGCCGAGAAAGCCAAACGGCCGGGGTTCTGTGAGCGCCGCGCCTTGGTCGTTGGGCGGTGTGCGTTCAGATGAGCGAGAGACAGAGTGCATGTTGCGAGGGTGAAACTTGAGGACAAGGTCGGAGCAGTTGATCGAGTCAAACTGCACTTCTGGGACATGGTCCACCAGCTGCGTGGGGTAGATGATATTGAGCACCACTCGGCGAACTCCAGCGGGGACAGGATGTATCCGCGGTGCCTCTCCTGCCGCTGCCCAGTACCCTGATTGCGAGAGATCAAGATAGTCGACGACAGTTGGCGCCAGCACGGTGGGCGACGGCCAAACGCGGCGCACAACCTGCACGCCGCGAAGCGCAGCGGCCAGTGCCGGTTCGCACGCAACGTCCACCTCGCAGTGGTAGTCCAACACACGCACGTGGGCGAGCAGACTGGCAATACGCCCGCGTGCGTTGCGGTTCGACCATGGCGGGCAAGGCAGACGGCCGTGCGGCGCTCGAAGCACGAGGCGTGATGGCGGCATCGGTCTAGGCCAGGGCAGCACCCCCCTCCCGTTGACAGCTTGTGCGCGGCGCGGCTCGTCGTCGTCAAGGATAATGTGGTGGAACAGGCGTGCGTCGGCGTCCTCCATGCACTTTTTGGACGCGGCGCGCAGAGCCAACAGCGAGTCGCGGGGCATGTAGTTGATGGCCTGTGCGAGGAGGTGCGCGCGAGTCATGATTCGTGGTGGGCGTTCGCTGCGTCGTCGACGGGCCTTGGTAGCGGGCGGTGCCGAGAGAAAGGCAGAGTGCGGGGGGTTGGCTTCCGGGGGGCCCCAGCTTGTGCGGGGCGAGTGAGTTATCATGCTGCTGTGACAGCTTGGGGGATGGATCACGATCGTGGGCGAAGCGAGCGGAGGCGTGGAGGAACTTTCAGTGCTTGCACTACGGCTGGCGCTGCCTTCCGAGTCGCTGCGAGACTTGTTATTGTACGCGAGGACCTTTTCGTCGGATGCCCTGCTGGCTCGCGGACCGGACAGCACGGGGAGGGCATCGTCGTACGGGTCGAGCACACTCTTGCTGGCTGCGCAGCCCATAAGAGGCGGCGTGCGTGTCGGTGGTTTGGTGTGGTGGTGAGCTAGGTGGTCCGAGGAGGAGTGAAGAGAGCGATGGACAACGGTTGGACAACGAGGGCTTGCTGTTACTTGGCGAGCTAGCTAAGTAGTCAAGTGGACCTCCACCTTTGCTGGGCGGCGGCTTGGCAGCTGGAATGGGGCAGAGGGCTGTCTGTTTGTTGTTGCTTGTTGTTGCTGTTCCTGCAGTTCATGTGTGTACAGCCTGCATGCATCGTCTCTGTTGCTCTGTACACACTCTGAGCTGCCCATTGTTCAAGACAATCCCGTTACATGGCGGCACCATGCGTGCGGGACGCCTTATTCCATCACCGCTTTTGACTCAACCTGGCCTCCGAGGCTCTCTCGTCCTGCACGACAGAGTGTGTGTTTACGTACGACACGGACACGGACGTGGGCACGGCTGAACACACGACACAAGCTGTCCAACATGGGAGGCTCGGAGACATGACAGATCTAGTGCAGTGCAGCGTTTACGTACCAATGCGTGCCTACATGCACCCCTGGGATCCTGGGTGAGTGACAAGACGAAACCAAGTTGCGGCGATCCATCGACCCAGTTTTCCCGTAACATGCCCAACCCAGTAAGCTTAAATCTTTCGTCCCAGAAACTTGGCTGCTGGGATGGTCCGTCTACAGGTCGCTTGTTCGATATCGCTTCTATCTTGCATGACGAGTTGGTTGCAGTGCAACATGTCGCAGTACTCATCCCACGGGTCGGGCTCTCATGTTCTCAGATCAAGCGTCCCTTTGCCACCCACATGTTCACATGTCCACAGCAGTTGTGTTTTGCCACCAACCCCACTGGAGCTCGAGCCCCAACAGTGCCAATGAAGCTCCAACACTGTCTCAGCCTGTTTGCACGCCGAGCCCAAACGTCCACCACTATCCCCTTCCAGCCGCTGGTCACCACTGCACTACTGGTCACCTGCACAACAAGGCTCCGAGACCCGAGACCTCTCAAGTTTTAGCAAATCGACCATTTTGTTTGGGGGTGCGGCAAGAGTGGCGGGGAAACTTCACTCTTGGCTGTTTGGGCCATCGTTTGTGTGTGAGACAGTTCGAGTCGCGCAGGGATGGGAGACAGACAGGCAGGCAGGCAGAGAGCACCTATCCCAGACAATCAGCCTCGCGACATGGCCATTGCCAAATGCAGAGGTCCTCGTGGTGGTTGAGTGGGGCGATGTGCTCTTGTGGGGTAGGGGTGGCGAGCAGTGACTGGGGTCCAGTCGTTGTCTATATAACACTGCCATCGAGCGACTCTCGACAGCCTTGTCCTCGCCACCAACCTATCACTCTTACCTCTCTCGCGCTCGCACCACTTCACTACCACCCCCCTCAACCCAATCCAAGACACAATGCCCGGTGCCCCCCTCGCCCGTCGTCTCTCCGCCACCGTCACCGGTTGGTTTGGTGAGTATTGAACCAGGACCTTTGCAACGGACAATGGCTGACCCCAACAGGCAAGCTCCGTGAGCTCCCCGGCAAGTTCAAGCGTCACTAGGAGCCCTCCCTCCATGGCGTCCGACAACTCTCCCCCCCACGTGATGGCCAGTAATTCTCAGGCGTGATCAGTAGCTCTAGTTGTAATGCAATGTTGGTACTCTCAAGTCATGGGTCGTGCAAGGTTCCATCAAGGAGACCGTATTAAACCGAGGAGGGGGCATTAGACTCGGCGTGATACAAATATCTGTCCTCCTTAGAGGGCCATAGCGGCAGCCAGCGCCACGACAGCAACGACCGCCGAGCCGGCCGAGAGCGACGTGGCGGCGCCAGCGGGCTTGGAAGTAGCGGGGGGAGTGATCGCCGAGGTCGTGCCCGAAGAGTTGGACGACGAGTTGTGCTGGTCATAGTCAGTAGGCTGCGAGGCGTGGATAGCACTCACCGAGGCGGTAGCCGAGGCAGTCGGGGGAGCGGTGGCGTTGGCGCCCACAAACGTGGCCTGGTCGACACCCGCGGGGTAGGCAACCGTGGTGGGCCTGACAAACGAGCCGGTAAACGTCGCCGGGTACTGCTCGTTGACGCACTCCTGCGCGAGGTTCTGCTGGGCTGCGTTGAGGACGTCAACCTGGAACTGAGTGACGTTGTGCGACGGGCCCTCGGAGAGGGTGCAGTTGATGCAGATCTGGAGGTTGGTGAGGATGGTCGCCTGCGAGTGTCAGTCAAGTTGTTTATCATCCAGGCCGTCGCGCCAGGTTGCCTCATGCAGAGGACGCGTATTGTGGCGGCGCGTCTGAAACCCCCGGCCATAAGCCATAAGGGGGGGTCCTTGCTGCCCATCCTTCTCCTTGCCCACTCACGTTGCAGACGCTCTGGCACAGAGCAGACGAACCGTCGGTAGGGCACTTGTTGAAGACGTCCTTGTAGGTCGCGCACGACGAGTTGCAAGTGTCCGGGAGGACGTCGATGGGGAACGTGAGCTCGCGGGCAACGTTGACGGCCGAGGCGACTGCGGGATGTCAGGAATGTTCGGAAATATCGTGTGCTCACCGGCAGCGGTCCCGAGGAGGAAGGTGTTGGTGAAGAGCATTGTGGTTGTGAGCTGCTTGATGGACAAGAGACAAGAGACAAGAGACGAGAGAGAGAGAGAGTGGAGGATGTTAAGATGAGGATGTGAGGATGTTGAACGCGGGACAGGCGGGCTCGTGGAGGGATCCTTGTAGAGCTGTAGTGCTGTAGCGCTGTAGAGATGGACGCGCGCGTCCTGCGCTCAGACCGCCTTGACGTAAAATTGCGAGCCAAGGCTTTTGCAATCCCTTTGTCTCGTTAACAGGCCCTGCGTTCCTTGTTCCTTGGCAAACTCATGCGGCCATTGTGCCTGGCTGGGGAGGAGGATCGTCTAGAAGTTTCTTATGTACGCCCTCCGTTTAAGCTTGGAGGGACCTTCAGATCAGCATGCACTGAGGCATATATAATGGCGAGCGCAAACGGATCGAGAGCATGTAGATGTTAGCATCAGAGCAGTGTGGCATCTAGCTACACCGGGGACAACTGGACCCGTGGACCTGGCATCAAAGGAGAGACCGAGCAGGCAGTTCGATGATGCAGTTCGGTGCGAGCTCCTGCTTTCCTTTCCTCTCCCTGCTTCCTCGCTGTGGTCTCCCCACTGCCATCCGTCCCAAGCCGACATTCGGGAACCCCAGACATGGAGGCCCGCGCCATCGTTCGGAACAAGAACAATGCAGAGGCCGAGGACGGACGGGCGCGTCTTGGCGCATAACAAGTAAACACTTTGGATGGAACATGTGTCGGGCAAAGCGGCGCAAAACTCGGTCTCTGCCTGGCCAGTCTGTAATCGTCGTATCGTGCGGCGATCCTTCGCCACACTCGCCATGATTGTCGTGCCTACCTACTATCTCTCTGTCTCTCCCACTTGTCTCCGACGACTTTGACCAGCAACATCTTCCAAAGTCTTGCAACGCTGCTATGGCATGGTCTACCTTTACCCCCCAGTCTTCCTCCCTCACAGTTTACTCGCTCTGAGTCTCAGCTTTCGGCCATCCGTTCCTCTTCCCAACGGACCGGTGGTCCGGTGCCCCGTTGGTGATGAGAACCTACGGCTGCGCCATCGGCGAACGAATGTGCCCCATGTTAGAAATGACTGCCTTGGTTTCGAGATAGTTGTACAACGAGGCCTCTCCACATTCACGACCGATTCCGGACTGGCGATATCCGCCGAAGGGAACGGCGAACGAGGTAAAGTTGTAGACATTGTTCCAGACTGCAATGGTCAGCTCTCTTGGACAAGGTCCACCTTCTGTGGCTCACCCGTTCCGGCGCGGATCGCCTCGTTCATACGCAGCATGCGCTCGTGGTTGGACGTAAAGACTGCCGAGGCGAGGCCGTAGGTCGTGCTGTTGGCCTCCTTGATCGCCTCGGCCTCGTCCTTGAAGGTCTGAATGGTCACAACGGGGCCAAACACCTCGTTCGTGAGGACCCTGTTGGTCGGGGAGACGTTGGTGAGCACAGTGGGAGACACAAAGTAGCCGCCGCCGAGTTTTTCGGAGAGGTCGGTGCCGCCGACAGCGAGCGTGGCGCCGTCGTCACAGGCAGTCTTGACCCAGCCGCGCACGCGGTCAAAGTGCGGCGCAGAGTTGAGCGGGCCCTGCGTCGTGGTCGGGTCGAACGGGTCGCCGACCTTGATCTGCGACATTTGGGTGGTAAACTCTTTGATGAACGCGTCGGCGATACCTTCCTGTACGAGGATGCGCGATCCGGCGACACAGGCCTGCCCGACATTCATCTCGATCGCAAACACGGCCCACTCGGCCGCGTCCTTGATCGACTTGCAGTCGTCAAAGATAATGTTGGGGCTCTTGCCGCCGAGCTCAAGGGTCACGCGCTTGAGGTTGGAGTTGGCAGCCGAGGCCAGGATGCGGCGGCCCACGGGGCCAGAGCCAGTGAACGCAATCTTGTCCACGTCCATGTGGTCCGCCATGGCCTGGCCGGCCGTCGGGCCAAGACCAGTGATCAGGTTGAACACTCCGGGAGGGAAGCCCGCCTCGACAATGTACTCGCAGATCTTGAGCGCCGACAGCGGCGTCGACTCGGCCGACTTGAGCACAATCGTGTTGCCAGTCGCGAGTGCGGGGCCAATCTTCCACGCGAGCATAGAAGCAGGGAAGTTCCATCTAAAGCGGTGAGCGGCCTCGTTCCTGTGCTCTGCTCTACGCACGGGATGATCTGGGCGCAGACGCCAATGGGCTCATACTTGGTGTAGGCGTGCACATACGGGATCGCGTTGTAGGTGCTGGCAACTTAGTCTCACAGCACTCGCGCCACCACCCACTGTCCCATAATCTTGTCTGCCCAGCCAGCATAGTAGCGAATAGTCTTGACGACACCCGCAATGTCGCGGGCAAGAGCGTCCTTGTACAGCTTGCCGACATCCGTCGCCTCAATCGCAGCCAGCTCCTCGCGGTTGCGCTCAATAATGTCCGCGAGGCGGTAGAGGAGCTCGCCGCGACCCGCGTGGTTGTGGAATCCCCACGCGCGGTTCTTGGCCTCGTACGCAGCGCGCGCGGCCGCCACGGCCTTGTCCACGTCTGCGGCATCGCCCTGTGCGACCTGGCCAATCACGCGGCCGGTCGCGGGGTTGTAAACGTCGAGGCGAGCGCCAGAGACGCTGTCCACAAACTCATTGTTGATGAACATGCCGATGGGGATCTGCGCGTCCTTGCCGTTACCAAGTCGGAACGTCGCCGACGCGAGGGGCTTGGTAGCTGTCGTGGCCATTGTGTGTGCTCTGTGGTGGTGATGGAGGAGGGGGGGGATGAGTGAGCGGGCAACAGAATTGTTCTTGAGTGCAAGGACCAACAGCTCGGTACCAAGAAGCAGCGGGCTTGGCCGAAGATGTAACCGGCAATGCCGAACGCCGTTCGGCATTGGGCAATGCCGAACGCCGTTGCAATGTAACAGAACCCCCCAGGCAGCCATCAGTTCAACGACATGCCCACAAACTCCGCATCATGCCATGAGTATTCATCATTACCAGTGACCCTAAAGATCCCAAGAATATCGCCATCTATCTATGCACGCGCCACCGTTGCGCGCTCACTTTTCCCACTGAGTGTCGAGCTTGAACTGGGCGTCGCCAACGGCAGCCTTGTACTCGTCGCGCGACACGTACGTGATGGTGCGCTTGGTGCCCACATCGCCGAGCCCGTCCTCCTGGACAGCGTCGCGAACCTCGGCCATGCCGCCGTTGATAAACTCCTCAAAGACTTGGCGGACGACCGCGGGCGGCACGATGCCGGTTGCATCGAGGCCCTTGGGCGTGGTGGCGGCCCCCGAGAGCCACTCGACGCCAGTGTGGTCAAAGTCGACCATGTTGATCTTGGTGTCGTCCGAGCCGCACATGGTGAGAAGCGTGAGGAGGAAGCCGAGAAGCGGGGGCTCCTCCTCGTCATCCTCGGACGGCTCGTAGTCCTTGGGCTCTGTAGATCGTCAGTTTGCAAAACACAGCCTCAACCCACGCTTGTACTCCTTGTCAACATTGAAGATGACCGTGATCTCGTCAAGAGGGGCGTTGAGCGTGTTAAGCAGGTCCTCGAGCGCCTTGGTCACGCGGGGGGTAGTGGGGTGCGAAGGCGTAATGTTGAGGACGAAACGCGACGTGCAGAGAATGGTCTCCTCCTCCTCGTCGCTCTCATCGTCGTCCTCCCCAGGCGTGTAGTCTGGGTCGTTCTCGTCGTCGGCGTCCTTGGCTGCAGTCTTAGAGGCCTCGGCGTCCTCAGTCTTGGTCTCGTCCTCGTCCTCCTCCTCCTCGTCCTCCTCCTCGGTCTCATAGTCCGAGTCGTCATCGACAAACGGTCCGTACTCGTAGTTCATCTCGTTTTGCCAGACAATGACGTTCTTAAAGCTGATGGGCCACTCGCCAAGGAAGCCGCTCGAGGGAACGGCCTTGATGCGGAGGGTCTCGACATTGTCGACGAGCTGCGCGACGCCGAGCAGCGCGTTGGGGAACGCGAGGTCCTCGAGGTCAATGACCTTGGTCGCGGCGTAGAGGGCGGGGGCCTGCTCGGGGTCAATCTCCGACTCGAGACGGGGCGGCGGGGGCGGTCCATCGTCGTCCTCGTCGTCCTCATCGACCCACTCGCCCTCGCCCTCGGCGTCCTCGACATCGCCGCCGACCTTGGCTTTGGACTTGACGTCCTCGACGAGCGCGCCGAGCTGAGCCTCGACGGCAGCGACCTGCTCGGGAGAGAGCCCCTCGCCGTCCTCATCGCCGTCCTCGTCGTCCGAGTCGCCCTCGATCTCAATCTCCACGCGCGGGAGCACGACGCCATCGTCGCGCGTCACAATGTTGAGGTCCATGCCCTCACACGTCGTGATGACAACGTGGGACGCGTCGGGGAGCGCAACGGCAGTCATGGTTGGGATGCGTGAGAGAGAGTGGAATGGGGATAACACAGCGAGTGTTCAGTGTCGGACGAGGTGGTTATATACCAACAGCTCGAGGGAGAGACAGAGTGAAAAAATTGAAGCAGCAAGTGGAATGATTTTTGGTGTGACTGTTGTGTGCTCAGGACGCGACTTACTTCGGGTTTCATCCGACGCGTCCGTGGCAAACGCCACGCGTTACCTCCACACAGCGGCAATCCTGCATTCCTGCCTGGCTGGGCCCTGTTCGAGCCCTTCTGTAAAGCGCAAGCTGAGCAGCCGGCCGGCCACTCGGCCCTCTACAGGGCCCGTCTGCTTGATGGAACCCCCGTGCGCACCCAGGATACTGGAATGCGTTGGGGGTGAGGCGAATCCCGATGCAAGGTGGACGCAGGGACAGGAGGGTTCGACAGCAGCGCAAGGGCGACCGACCGATGGCGGGGGGAAGATTTGCTCAACGTAGCAGGAGGGCCCTTGGTCATCAGCGTCGTTGGTCAGGCTCAACCCCGAGCACAACGGGTAGACTGCTTCCAATGAACCGCTACTGCTCGCATGCCAAAAAGTACAACTATCCCTATCCGTACACGCGATCTGGCTTACACGTTCAAAAACCAATCTTCTTGAAGACGAGGTCGAGTGTCACCAGGGACACAGGCTTGAAAAGGCTGTCTTGTTAGCAACCTGTCTGAACATGTCTGTGGAGACTCACTATCCGTCTACACCGCTTGCAAACGCCTTGCGCTTGTCGTCCACAGTGGCCAGTCCAGTCAAGGCGAAAATCTTGGTGTGGTGGGTTTGGGGCTCTGGCAATTGCGACGAAGACGAGATGGGGGAGAGGGGGACATGCGTAGATGTAGGAGAGATGTTTGGAGAGGTGTAGACATCGCCATCGAGACGGCGCCGCGTCTCGATGCTACGGACCGCGGTGTGGCCTCGAGTCCGTCCATGATTGGCATTGTGATGTCCATTAAAATGGCGCTGATAATCAGTCAGAAAATTACTGGGAAAATGGTTAAAAAAAATACTCACTCCCAATAGTTTGGCGGCGACTTTTCAAATAGCTCGACGCCGGCACACCCATCGACCGCCTCGGTGTACTGGAAGCCCCGCTTCTTAAGCAAGGCGGTCAGCACGCGGCGGTTGATGGGGTTGTCCTCAACGACCATGATGCGCGGCGGGCGGATCTGGCGGAGGGGTACGGTCAACAGCGGGTTGGCCGGCTGGCAGCTCGCGAGCATGACTCCACCGTCGGCGATGGACACGGTCGAAAAGCCAGAGATGCTTGCAGTGTGTGTGTGGCGCACAGTCGGCGGCCGTTCGGGCCATTCGGGCTTGGTCACTGCCGCCAAGGGTGTCACTGGTGTCGTCTGTGTGCTCGGCGTCGTCTCACCCGAGCAAGCGCCCTGCACAACGGTCGGGTTGGATGGGGCACTAAACGTGCGTATGGTAGGTGGGCGAGGGGGGAACGAGTAGTTGAGGAAGGATGAGGACGGTTTGGACTGCTGCTGGGACCCAAGCGACGAGAATGAGTTGTGCGTAAGTGTGAGCATTGGCCGCGAGTCGTTAAAGTCGGGCGGTGGTTGCTGTTGGGCAGCAGGTGACGGCGTGGGCGACGGCGACGGCGACATCTCGGTAAGGTGCGTTCGCGGACGGTGGCCGAGAATCTGCATCATCTTGGTGCTGGCGTCCTTGCTCGGGTCCTCGAGTGACCCGCGGCGGCGCTCGGCCGTGTTGATCTGCGACAGGGCGCCGAGCAAGTCGGGATTGCTCGGGTCCTTGAGCCACCTGACCGCACCGTGCAGCCCGCGCGTAAAGTGGTCAATGCCCATGGGCTTGTACAGGATGCCAGTGTACGCGTCCATGCGGCCCATGTCCTGCAGCGTCTGCGTGTCGTGGATCTTGAACGAGATGATGAGGAGGATTGGCCGCGTGCGGGCCATCTCGCGCACCTCGTCGGTGAGACCTGCCGCTTCGTTGATGACGAGAATGTCGGCCTCGGCGGGATTGTCAATGACGGTGAACCCGAGGCAGCGCGCATAGTTGGTCATGACCTCCTTCTGGAGCTGGTGGCCGCGGAAGTGGCTCAGGTAGTTGACAAAAGCCATGGTGTGGCAGACGCCGAGTCTAGTGTTGACCGGCTTGATGGGGACGCCGTTTTCGTCCTCGTCGACCGTGTCGACCTGGAACTGGATGCGGATCTCGGTACCGACGTTCTCCGCAGAGTAGACGTCGAGTGTGCCGCCCATGGCGCTCGAGGTGACAATGTTGCCCACAATGGCGAGACCGAGGCCAGTGCCGGGCTGCATGGGGTTCTCCTGCGCAAACGGCTGAAACATTTTGCTCTTGAGAAACTCCTTGCCGATCCCCTTGCCAGTGTCGATCACACGGAGCTCCAGAGGGATGCGCTTTTGATCGGCAGGGTGAGGCAGCTCGCGCAGCATGATCTGCACGTAGCCCTCTTTTGTAAACTTGAGCGAGTTGTTGAACAAGTTCATGATGATGCGGCGCAGGCCACCGACCTCGCACACGACATTCCAGCCCTTTTCGCGGAACCCAATGTCGAGGACCGACTCAACGTTGGACAAGTCTTGATGAATGTCGAGACGCCGCGCTCCCGGTATGAGACCCCGAGGCTCTGGCGAGTAAAACGTGCCGAGGTCGCTCTCGCCGTCCGACGTCATTTGCATCGAGCGCGCGCGCTGCCCCAGCCAGCACCCCTCGACAGTGCTGTGGATGAGCTCGGCGAGGTTGACCTGCCGGCACTGGATCTGGCTCGTCGAGTTGTCCTTGCCCTCAATGCTGAGCTTTGCAAAGTCGAGCACGTGGTTGACCGTCTCGATGAGCTGCTGTCCACAGGTGCGGAGCGTGGCCAAAAAGGCCTCTTGCGTCGGGTCCAAGGTCGTGTCCGAGAGCAGCTCACCGGCGGCGAGCATGCCATGCAGGGGCGTGCGCAGCTCGTGGCTAACCGACGAGATGAGCACGTTCTTGGACCGGTCAGCGAGGAAGGTCCTCCGACGGAGCACAGCCGACAGGATGGTCGACCCAATGCCGCGGAGAAACTGCAGCTCGGACCCTTGGAGAAACTGCCGACCTTTATCCTGCGTGTGCGCGCAGATGAGCGCAAACGGCTGGTGGTCGATGCCAAAGATGGGGACCACGAGGGCATATCGCAGTGTCGAGGGGTAGACTGAGCGGATCCACGGCGGCGCAACGTGAAAGATGCGGCCAAAGCGGTAGTCGGCGAGAAACTCGGACACGAGCTTGTGCTCCCATCCCTTGAGCTTGTGGGTACGCGCTTCGCGCGACGTGGACGCCAGCACTGGGAACGCGGGGAGTGGGCCAAAGTCGTCGGTCATGTCGCCAGAGAACGAGTTGCCGCTGCCGCCTATGTAGGGGTTTGCGCGGTAGACCACCTTGGTAGTCCCGTCCTCTGGCGCATGGAGCTCGACGCGCTCAAACTGCCCAATGTCCAGGATTGTACACCCGTCGAGGTCAAGAGTGTTCTTCACCATTTCAGACGCCCGGCGGTACACCTGCAAGAGATGCAGATCCACATCCTGCTGGCAGAGGAGCAGCCTGTCCTTGGTCTCGAGGCACTCGCGCGTAAACTCCTCGAGAGACGTCTGGATCCGGTCGCGCACGCGGAGCTGCAGGCGGTCGCGCCAGAGCTCGAGCTCGCGGATGACAATCGCGGCAAACTCTTTGAGAATGTGGCGGCAACGTGGGGAAAACTTTGTCCGCGGCTTGGTGTCAGCCACGGCGAGCGCTCCGAGGTTGTAGCCATCCGATGTGCGCAGTGGCGCGCCAGCGTAGAAGCGAATGTTGGGATTGCCTGTGACTAGAGGGTTGTTCTTGAACCGCCAGTCCTTGTGCGTGTCGAGCACGACGAACGGGTCATCGCCGTTGAGCAAGACGACATGAGGGCAAAAGCCGACCGATCGCCGCAACTCGTCGACAGTGTACCCAAGGCCAGAGTACGACTTGAACCCCTCCCCGTCGGGAAGGGAGCAGAACGCCATGGACGCGTTGAACACGAGCTTGATCATGTGCACGACGCGGTCAAAGTTGAGGTCGTCGGTCGTGTACAGAATGTTGAAGCTCATGAGCGTCTTAAGTCTCTCGGGCTCTTGCTGTGGCAGGGGCGCTGGCAAGAACTTGTGGCGCTCATAGAACGGGCGAACGTCGTGCAAGTGGCGAACATTTGGAAAGTGACCGAGTTTGAGAAACTGTGGGCGTCTTGCCGGTGGAGGGGGAAGAGCATGGTCGATAGAGAATGAGCGAGTGTGCGTTTGACCTAGTCGACTTGGCTTTGCAGGTCTTGCGGATGAAGATGCTTGCTGCATGTCGTCTGGCTGGCCGTTGTCGTCGTCCTCGGCCTCGTCTTCTGGGTCTGACCCGGGGGGCAGAGGACTCGGAGGCGCAGACTGAGCGCGAAGTATTGGGTCCTCCCTGTCCACAGCGGCCAAACGTGGCGTTGACGGTGCCGGTGCCGGCAAGTGCTCAAACTCGCTCGACTCGGGGAACATGGGTGTGCGGAGGGGGTCAAACCACCCCTGCGAGTAGGCAAACGCAAACTCGTTCCAGCTCGTCGCCCGCTGCGCCGCAAGGTTCTTGATGTGCCCCGATATGCGCCGCGTGAGGGGACTGCCAAGCGCATGGTTTCCCCGCAGTGTGTCCTCCTCGCCGCCGCCGCCCATCCGCTGGAGATTTGCCTCGGCACCACGGTTGACCGCCTTGGGCGCATGCAGGTGGCGCATCCTGTTGAGCGGGGAGAAGGGCGAGCACGCCGGCGCAGAGGTAAGAGAGGGACACGCCGGGAGCGTGTTATTGCTGCTGCCCGCCGCCACCTCATGTGGCATATGCCATCCGCCTGGCGGGGGAAAGCTGGAGGTTGAGAACCTCCGGCCCGAGGACGTGTTGGCCGCCATGGCGGACATGAGGCTCGCGGCCGAGGCGGCCCGGTCTCGAGCGGGAGCGCGGAATGGACTGGTTGGCGTAGCCTCCACCTCGCCCGGCGAGAATGGGTTAGAGTACGTAATAGACTCGCCGCCGTAGGAAAGATTCAGGCGGGAAACGGGCGTGCGCGGCGACTCGAGGAGGGGGTCGATCGATGACGACGTGGACCCGCTGGACGGAGAGTCGGCCATGGCGGTGACAATGGGCGGTGGCGTCGTGGTCGCCGCCACCTTCTCCGGCGTGGGGGCGCCGCCGCCGTCAGAGTCGGTGAGGTGCTCGTGGGCAGACCAGTACATCTGCGACGAGGGGCGCACCGATACCGGGGTGCCGGTGGAGGTGGATGTGGAGAGGGGAAAGGTGATGGACTGGGCTCGACTGTGCCCGCGGAGCTCTGTGAGGAATTCGGAGCCGCACAGCGGGTACTGCTCTGCAGGCGTGTCGTCCGACGACTCGGATGAGGTCGAGTCGGAGGACACCCCGCGCACTGGGGTCACCGAGGACGCTGGCGGTTTGCCCTGGGTGGTGGCGCTGGATTTGACGTTTGTGGCATCTCGAGGGGATGTCGAGAGATGCGAGGACGCCAGGTGGAACTCGTCCATGGCTGCGGTGGTGCAGTGGATGGGCGGACTGGCGGTAGAATGATAGATATGGAGAACAAGAAGGAAAAGTCAAAGATCGGCGTTGCAGTATCGTTGGTGTCGAACAGGAGCAGTGGACGACTGCATGCCTCCTGGTGGTGGTGGTGGTGGTGGTGGTGATGGTGGTGGTGGACAGGACAACCTGGTCCCAGTGCCACGGTGCGCTGGATCTCCCTTCCTGAAGCGGCGACCTGCTCAGTCCGGCCCTGCCCCTCTCAAAGCAGAAGCGCGACACCAATAGGCGAGGGCCGGAGTGCTTTGAGGGCTTTGGTCGTCCTCGGCCTTGCCTGGTGCCTACGAGTGCCGGGTCTATGCATGCTTTACCTGAATGACGCTGGCCAGACTGTCCAAGGTAAGAACAATCAAGTAGTATCCTCTGCCACACCAATGGTTTCCCCACTCCCCATACCAGCAAGGTCACTCAAAAATGAATGTAATATTGCCTCTGTGCCTTGGATGTTCAACGCCAGGCCAGCGTCGGGGGCAGGCCTCATGTGATCGATCTCTCACTGGCTATCAGCAATATCATGCTGCTGCTACAGATGGACGTCCAGTGGAGGCCAGGAGGAGGAGGAGGGACATCCATCTTCATTGCTCGGATTGGCTACCCCCACGGCTGGGCCGGCATGGCGGTTCTCCCAGAAGTGCGGAGAACGGGTTGCCATCGTGGTTGCTCGTCGCTGGGCAATACACACCAATGCTAGGTTACCAGGCGACGAGGGATCAGGGCGGGTGGGAGTCGAGACATGTCTGCACGCCGCATACATGGAGCACAGATAAGACAGATGTAGCCCGGCCGGCTTGGCCTTTCGGGGCCCTGGCCACGAGGTCTCGGTCATCGAGGAGGCGTATCGGAGCATGGCCCAGAGCGTCCAGGGGTGGTCGGCGGCGCCGCCTGTCCAAGTGTGCGCCGACAGCACCATGTTCACCTCGGCGTCGTTCCCTCACGACGCCGAGGGGGTCTGGCCAGGACTGGACCTGACCCGGCGGGAGCACGACGGAGTCGGTGCTCATTCCCGTCGCTCCCACAATGACCTCCGTCACCGAGATGACCATACCCACTGTGTCCGACAGCGCCCGGTGCAGAGGCCGCTTACTCATCGTCTTCGGCACACTGCATGCGTCGTCGCCCGCCGTTTTGCCACAGACGGCGAGAGAGCCTCCTCCGCTAAAAGTGGAGGTCACGTGTTTCTTGTGTGGGTACAACTGACAACATTGCCCCGGTGCAACCCCGCTCAGGGGCCACTAGCCATAGCAGGCAGCAGGCAGCTGGGATGCATTCTGACCTGGCTTTGGCAGTGCCCGCAAGGGAACATAGAGCGGCTCGGTAGAAGTAGCAGTGCTTGGTGCGTCCGACCTCATTAAGGTGGTTGGAATCGAGTGCCACCTGAAAGTAGCACTGATGCCGTCAAGGTCACTACTGGAATCGGATTCACACCCAAACCATGTGCAAACCAAAACTCACTTGGGCAGGAGGACGGCTGCTGTATCAGCCATCTCGGCGCGACAAGTCCCAAGTGCTTGAACGAGCGTATTAACGTCTCGAGCCTCTCCATCATCGGGGCCTCCTCGGCGCCTGTGACTCGACCCGCACCACCGAGCTGCAGAACGAAATTGGAGTGGAGCGGCAAAAGTAACACCTTGTTTTACACTGCGGCGGCGACCACCACAGGCCACAAACGTCTCGGAATCGCCTGTGCAGTAGATGCTCCTCCCCAAACCAGCCAGTTGTCGCCCAAGCGGCAAAAGTGCGGACATTGCTTGTTTGTTTTTGTTTTATGCGGTGACCGTCGGCTTATCTCATTTCATCTCATCTCGGAACGAGCTGCGCCCTTAGCCACCACTTAGATCTACGTGTGGCGCCGGACCTTGCCTGCCGGCTGGGCCAGGAGCCCCACACTGGGCCCGCCCGTTGTCCACTTGCTGGACCTGTCCTCGCTGCTCCTTAGGCACCACAATACAGCCTTGATCTGCCCCCAGACTCCGAACTCTCTGCGCCGAGGTCGAGGTCTGCTGATGGTCGGCCAGGGCAGTTTCGCCGATTAATATGGAAAGCAGTTACGAGCGAAACAACCAAAACAAAAACAAACCAACAAGATTGCGATGACATTTTCTCGTTGTCTAATCTCAGGATGGGATCTGCTGATCCATGATCGATCTGCTCCCGAAATCCCGAAGTCCTATGATTACCTGTGATTAGACATGTAATTTACTGGTACTCGAGTTGCTCAATGGCCCGACTTGATGTCTGCGGCAATCTTCTCAGCGAGCGCATACACGACCGACTGCGGGTGGCCCGGCGGCAGGAGCGCAAAGGCACTGGCGTCAACGACGCGGAGGCCGCTGACGCCAATGACGCGCGCGTGGTTGTCGACCACGGCGGTGGGATCGTCGGTCCGGCCCATGCGGCACGTGCACGACGCGTGCCACACTGTCATTACCGTCTTGCGGATTGTGGCGAGGATTTGGTCGTCAGTGGCAACAGCCGATCCGGGGAAATACTCGTTCTTGTCGGCAAGGAGGCCGGCCATACCGTCCGAGTTGAACGCCTGGCGCACGCGCTTGTAGCCTGCAATGGCAACGGCCTGGTCGGTCGGGTGCGTGAGCCACGCGGGGTCGATGAGGGGGGCAACGTTGGTGTCGGTCGACGAGATGGACACGGTGCCGCGCGACAGGGGTGCCACAACCGCAGCCAGGATGGAGGCATATTGGTAGCCATCCTTGGGCTGGTTGGTGAGGAGGTTGGAAAAGTCGCCAATAAAGCCCGGCGCGGACATATACTCGAGGTGCGGCCAGGAGGACGGAAACTTGTTGAGGTCGGACTGGACTTGGGCAGACGGCACCAGGTTGGCCGGAACACGCTCCCAGCCGAGGTACGTGGCGAGGGGGTCGGTGAGGACGCCCCTCTTGAAGGGAACAAAGTTGGTAAGGTACTCCCACACAATGTACAGCAGGTTGTTGGCCAACTTTGTGTATGTCTCGACATTGACGCGGTACGAAGGCGTGACGTAGACGTGGTCCGTGAGATTTTGACCAACGCCTGGGCGGTCGGCAATGACCTGGATACCGAGGCGCTGCAGCTGTGCGGCGGGTCCGACACCAGAGACCATGAGCAGCTGCGGGGACTGGAACGCGCCGGCTGAGAGGATAACCTCCTTGCGGGCCTTCAGAACCGAGCCGAGGCCAGTCTGGACGCCGATCGCCTTCTTGTTGTCGTCGAACAAAATCCGCTTGGCCATGGTGAGCTGGAAGACCGTGAAGTTCGGGCGGCGTTTGGCGGCGGTCATGAAGGAGGTCTCTGACGACGAGCGCTTCATGGTCGACGGGTCAATCGTCGTCGTGACCCAGTTGTGTCCGGTAAGAGCACCCGTGTTGAAGTCGAGGGCTTGCGGCAGGCCGTTCGAGCTCATGCCGCGCTTCATCCACGTGCTGAACGGCGCACCCCAGTTGGGGTACGTGACCTGCAGTGGCCCACCGGCGGGGTCAAACGCGCCAGCATCAAATGTCGCCGACGCGTTTGGGAAGCGAATGTCGTTGCGCGGCGGCGTAAACTTGACGCTCTTGCGGAAGTAGGGCATCCAGTTGCCGAGCGTGTAGCTCTGGTCCCCAACGGCGTCGGCCCACATCTGGAGGGATCCGGGGTCGGGGCGCTGGTAGACCATAAAATTGCGCGCCGAGCTAGGATCGCATAAGCAATCCACCCATGTCTCAAGCCGCCTTTTTCTTACCTTCCACCAAGACACTTGCCACGCGCATAGTGGACACGACGGTTGTCAGCACCCGTCTGCGGGGTGGTCACAAAATTCCAGTCGACGAGCGGGTTGGTGTCTCTCGGGTCCGAGCCTGCAAAGAGCACATCGGCACCAGGGGTTGACGAGAAGACAAAGTTGGACACTTGGTAATAGGTGCCGGCCTCGATGACCGCGACCGAGACACTGGGGTCCTCGGACAGGCGCGAGGCAATGGCCAGGCCACCGGTACCGCCGCCGACGACCACATAGTCGAACGTGGTGTCGAATAGACCGCGCTCTTCGTTGTTGTTGGGGGCGGGCGCAGCCACCACAGCCGTGGCAAAAGCCCACAGAATCGCAAAGGCCAACATGTCTGGAATCTGGATGTGAGCGTTCCGGAGTAAAAAAAAAAATCCTTCTTGACCTGTGGATGATCAACGACCTAGACACTGTTTAAATATGAGTTTCCGAGTTGCAGAGTCGTTAAGAAGAGATGCGTTCCCACCGACCGGGGCCGTTGCTCCCCTTCTCCGCACGCGGCGCACTTCCCCTGGGGATCTGGGCAAGATACGGTTTCAGAGGCAGAAAAGTCACGCGCCCTTGGCATAAACGGCTTAACAACCATGGCCTAGTGTTCTGTGGCAGCGTGGTGTGAAGGTACGTACATATGGTGGAGTGCCACATCCGCCATCCCGCTTCTGGTCTATGTCTATTTGTCGCCACACTCGAATATTCCCAGACAACAGCCGTCCTCGTCCACTGTACCTGTCGTGTTCAGCCGGGGCTCAGACCCTGCTCCCGAAGGTCCACACTCTCGGGGAGCAGGGGCGTCGTCAGATCCTGGAAGACCCAGGGGGTTGGAGCAGTCGAACAGGCCGTAACAGCACTCGCCGTCCGCTGCGGGAAGAGTAACAGGTACGGCAGGAGTGGCGGACGAGTGCGCTTGATGCGGGCGGTGCTCGTCACCTTTATGTGGATTTTGCTCGTCCTCTAGGTCATGTGCGGCCAGACTTGGCGCGGGAACGTTGCGCTCCGTAGTACGAGTGTGACAATCCGCCCGAGGCCTACCGGACCGACCGGACCGACCGGACCGCCGATCACACCACTTGGCCGTCTCACCATGCGTGTCTGCCCCCGCCTCGCCATCCGCCTCCTCTGCCCAATGATGTCTGCAATCAAGCGCGTGCGCCTGCGCATGCTCCATCATATACCCCTGTAGGGAATGCGCAGCGTGCGCCTGTGCGTAGGCGTGCGACGGCGAACAGTCGCCGCGGCCGATCCCAACCGCTCCGCACATGACGGCATCGAGGCCGTCGAGCGCGACGAGGAGCTGTTCCCGCGCGGCCGTGACAGCGTGCATCTGCGCGGGAGGGCATACGGTGGGTAGGTGGGCGCGAAGCTCGGCGAGCTCGGCTCGCAATGATGCGTTCTCGTGGGTCAGGCGGTCGACCGTGTCCTGTAGTGTTTTCTGGATGTGTCAGCGCGGGGAGGGAAGCGACAAGTAGGTTTAATTTAGGTGGATATGCACTAGGTGGGCCGATTTGCGCGCGCGGTAGTCACGCTGCGCGGTGAGGGAGCGTGTAAGGGGGAGAGTCTTGTCGATGGAGCGGCCGCGGCCAATGGTGGTCGGGTGGGGTGGACTAGAGGGAGTGGATGAGATTGGATGAGAGGGGGTCTCATGATGCGAGATACCAGTTGGAGCTGTAATCTGATTCCGTCAGTGAGTGAGTGGGTCTTGGGTGGTCGGTCGGCCTGGGGAGACTGGTCGTCTCCAGCTGCGTTATCTAATCAAAGCGTTAGAATGTTCGATGGTCTTCTGGAAGGTGATCCGGCGGCGCTCATTCTTTGTACACATCAACGCTCTCTAAGTTGCTCACAGCCATGGCCAGCACTTGTTGCTGCCAAGACCTGAATATGAAGATGAGTGTCGTGGGATAAATCAAATTCATCAAATTCAAGCCTTCTGAATTTGATTAAACACGTCGAAGGACATCAGGGGAGATCTTATCAGCTGGAAAATAAAAGCCCACACTTGGACTCACCTTGTCAGCAACCATCACCGCCGCCAACAACACCATGGACGTTGAGAAGACTATCTCCAGAGAAAAGACGGCAAGCGTGAACGCTGAAGGGGAACAAGAGCCAGAGATCCACGCTGCAGCAGGTGAGTTGTGACCGCGCATGGACTGGACACTAACGGCCTGCAGGTGGCATCTGGGCGGGCCTCAGTTGGTTTGACCGTCTGCTTCCTATCCTCGTCCTGCTGGCCATGATCATTGGCGTCATCATTGGCAGGTAATCATCGTGGTACATTCTCTAACTTGAAGGCAAATATGCAGGCAACACGCAGGTCGTTTTGCAGGGCGCCACGTTGAAGGGGGTCTCAATCCCCATCGTCGTCGGACTGCTGGTCATGATGTGGCCCATCCTCACCAAAGGTGCGTGCATCATGCACAAATGTAGCGACGCTAATGTGTAGTCCAATACGAGAGGCTCCCACAGATCCTCGCCACCAAGCACATTTGGACGCAGATTGCCATCTCCGTCGTGCTCAACTGGATAGTCGCGCCATTCGTGAGTCTTGCCACCGGGTAACGACACTCACCATCCAGGTGATGCTTGGTGTCGCCTTTGCCACCCTCCCAGACCAACCGACCTACCGCACGGGAGTTATCATGGTAGGCCTCGCCCGCTGCATCGCCATGGTCATGATCTGGAATGACCTCGCCAAGGGCGACATGAACTACTGCGCCATCTTGGTCATCATCAACTCTGTCCTTCAGATCATCCTCTACTCGCCAATGTCGCTTCTGTTTGTCAATGTCATCTCCAACGAGAAATCGTTGCGCCTCGAGTATGGCGCTACAGCCATTGCGGTGCTCATCTACCTCGGAATCCCGCTCGTGGCCGGCATTGTGACGCGCTTCGCCGTGATGGGCATTCTCGGTCGCAAGCGCTTCGAGAACCACTTTCTGCCGTGGTTTGGGCCTCTTGCTCTCCTCGGCCTCCTGTATACGCAAGTTCAGTACAAATGGGCATATTCTAACACCTCTCAGTATTATCTTGATCTGTGCCGAACAGGCCACGCGTATTCTCGACAATATTGGCGTCGTCTTCCGCGTGTTCGTCCCCATGATTGTCTACTTTATCCTCATGTGGTTCTCGACTTTTGCCCTCATGTACTACCTCAACCGGCGATACGGTCCCGAGCACGGCTTCACCTATCAGTCCTCGACCGTGCAGACCTTTACGGTCGCGTCCAACAAGTGAGTGGCAGAGCGAAAGGAGAAAGGAAATCGCCATTGACACTATTGCCCCCAGCTTTGAGCTTGCGATCGCGGTCTGTGTGGCAATCTACGGCGTCAACTCGGACCAGGCGCTGGCAGCCACGATAGGCCCGCTCGTCGAGGTGCCCGTCCTGTTGCTCTTGACATATGTTTCCCTCCTGTTTGGGGAAAAGCTCAACTGGCGCAAGTGCTCGGCTATCTAGATTTCTCGAGCCACAACACGTGGTGCCACTTTGGATTCCTCGCAATAATAATCAATGTGATGCATGTTTTGTGTTGGGCCTAGTAGATGGGATCTTCTGGCGGGCGGGCTCAAGCTCCAGAGCAACCTCCCCGACGTCCCCGCTCACCATTGCAAAACGTTGCTCGGAGCCCGCGGATCTCGGTGGACGCGCCGACGCGCGCCGCGGTGTATGAGTTGGCGGATGTAGCAAGACGAACTGGCTGACTGGCAACTGCTATATCCCCGTGCTCCACCAAGTAAAATATTGTCTGGATAGCGAGCAGCAACGCGGACCAAACCACGCCCGGCCCGCAGCCCGTTTGTACGTAGGTGTGATGGAAACATGCATGCCGTTCAGCGGGCCGTTTACCGGACGGTGCTGCCATGCGCCGCCAGCTTGCTTCCCGTTCGGCTTCTTGGCAGTGACAACGACTCCGAGCCCTTGGTGCCGTACATACTTGATCTGGATGCCAAGAGAACGCACCTGAACGGCAAGCCTCCCGTGCAAACTTGCAACCCAGAAAGCCGGGGTTGCACCCGCCCCTACAAGTTCTGCCTGTACCCTAGGATGGTCTGCTGGCTGCTGTCATAGTCGTTCACAGCTCGTCAGATTGGACGCCAATGCCGGAGTCAAGACTACGTAACAATCACACCTGGTCGTGGACACGCAGACCCCGGGCTCACCCCATCGGCTGGCGGCGCACCGCTTCCAGCACCTCTCAGCGGCAATCTTACAGCATGGGCGGGGATCTTGGGTCCTAGAGGACAGCGTTGGGTTCAACCTTGTCCACAGAGTTGGGGAGCTTGATGGTGATGACCGATGAAATCTGAGCCATTATTGCTGCTCGTTGTCAGCGAGTCTGCCTCGACTGATGATGATGCGCTTGATGCGTGTGAAAGCGATTAGAGATCGAGCCGCCGATGTTGCGGCACATACGGGGCATGTGGCGCTAGCGGAGCGCGGGAAGAACGTCGGAATGGCACAACACAGAACACTTAGTCTGTCTGGACTCTGATAACCCCGGGCGGACCACTCGAGACAATTCAGCCGCCACAAAGGGACGAGGATCCAGTTGACGAGCAATCAGCAACCCCCACCTGGGCTGTCAGCCTGAATGACGGTCCCCTCTGGCAAGCCATGACGTGAAACGACGAGGGTCCAGTAGATCGGTGGTGCACGTCGCCAGCCGCTGGGCCCTGCGCGCGCGGCGGCTCGTGGAACCAAAATTTTGTGCCGACCAAACTCTCCATCCCGCAAGGCACCGGGACGCGCTCCTGGCTGGTAGGCATAACGTGATATGACCATGACATTTTCCTGGCCGTTGTTGTTGTTCAGTTATGTGCACTGTCGTTAACCTTAAGCTGAGCCAGCAGTCTTGCTACAAGAGCTCAAGCTTTGTAGAAGTCGACCAGGACCTGCCGCAACGTTGCGGCGCACCAGGAAACTTTGTGCCTTGTACAGGCGAGCGGGCCGGTCATAGGGCCACAGAAGGGCTCGTCTGCAGCGCAACCCAAGCGCAGCCCGGATCAAAGCTTCGCTGTTTGAGAACATGACGATTGGGGCTCTGGAAGCACTATCCCTTGCTTGGCTGTTGTCAACGGCTCCCCGCCAGCTGCCCGTACGCTTGTTCAAGCGCATCACCAAAACCCAGCAAGGACAGAGGTCAGATGCAGATACCAGGTCCGCCGGGATCCATCGATCCAGGTTGCTGCTCTTGCCAAGGCTGAAGCAGCATGGAACATGGCAGGAACCCCTAGGCCAGCACTAGCCCTACTCTGCCACTACGCAGATCGACTCGCTCGACTGGCTTGCTACATGCTACGAGTAGTGGAGCGCGCACCAAAGCCAATCCTGCCATCGGCCGTGATACCGTAATGCGATCACGTACGCGCAAAAGCAGTCCTGTGTCCTCATCCCGAAGAGCTTGGCACCCGCCACTCTTGTTCACATCCTCGCCTCTTCCACGAGTTTGAACAGAGGCCGTCCGCATGTTGGGGTCGGTCGGGACTGCGACATGTTCCCAATGTACGAGAGAACCTCGATCCTGGACCCCAGCCGGTCAGTGGGCAGAAGCAAAAACACTGCCAAGCATGCCCACAAGTTGCGCGCACCACCAAGGATACATAAGATCAAGGTAAGCCGCACTGGACCATCTGTATCCCCCCTGTACCACATACCCCCTCTCTCTCCATCTTCGACCTGCACAAAGGAGTCGATTGGCAACCTTTCAAAACAGAGCGATAGATAGTCCTTGCTCCCTTCCACTCATTCACCATGGTGTCCTTCAAGTTCCTCGTTCTCCTCCCGGCTGTCGCCGCCACATTCATTCACTTCCCCGACAAGGGGGACCCGTGTGCCGACAAGACTCGCACGGTGACAACGTGAGTTGTTTCATATTGCTCTAAAAAGAACTGCCACTAATCCATCAGCACCATCAAGACTGCCACCAGCACGTCGACCAGCATCTGCAGCACCCCGTCCAAGTGCACCAGCACTCAGACTCGCTACAGCTGCCCCACCACGACTGTCCCGTGCTCCAAGACGTCGACCTGCACCAACCAGGCCAAGCAGTGCACGTACACTTCCACCTCGACGTGCAAGGCCGTCGCCGTCAAGACCACTTGCCGCCCTTGGCGCCAGGCCCGCGCCGACGAGATCCCCGAGGAGATGACCAACGCTGAGCGCATCAAGCTCGGTCTCCCCCTCCGCTCGGTCTCGGACGAGCGCCGCTGGTTCCACAAGCCCCCCACTGGCCCGTCGTGCAAGCCCACCACCACCACTGTCACCAAGACGTCGACCTGCTTCACCCCCGCCGTTACCCGCTCGTACACCCACTACTGCCTCTACAAGACTGTCACGACTGTTCCCGACCCCACTATCGGCACCGTCACTGTCACCGACCGCAAGTGCCCCACCACCACGATCACCAACACCCCCGCGTGCTGGCTCCCCACCGTCACCACCATCTACACTGCCACCACCACCCGCACCATTGGCTTCTGCTAAGCGGATGGCATTTCGCTTCTTCGTCGACCGTTCTTCACCCTTTTGGGAGCCTCGCAACATTCTATTTGTATAATCGCATCTCTGGATGACAAACCTCCGCCACAAGCGTATGGCGCTTCATCCTTCTACACTCCCAGGACGCCTCCTGTTATCTCGGCGGCTGTTCATCCAGGACACTATCAGCAAGGGACACTTTTCTTCTAGACTACATCTTGATCGCGCGCTGCGCTCCAGCGCGTTTGTGTATAATAATCTACCTACTACATCCCGCGGCCGGGTCCTTGGATGATCCCCGCACAAACAGTCCTGCAAGGCCGCCCGACATGCCCCAGTCGAGCGCATTCCGCGTTGAAAACCTTGTACAAAGGCATCCGCGGGAAGGTGTGCCACACTGGCCGCCAGCCGTTGCGCAGCTGCCTGACCGGGGCATGTTATATAGTCCATAGCGTATGCATGTCTCGCCGTCGCCGTCCACCTGATTGCAGCCCGTTCTCATCCTCTGAATAGCAGCGTCCGCTCCTGATCTGAGTTAACGTTCCTGTTTCCCATCACTGGCATGCCTCGTCAGTGTGCCTGTTGGTGTTTCACCCTCGGGGGATCCACAACCTTCTCCTGCTTCTGCGACGCATCCCACAGGTCCGTCCTCGGCCAGGTACCACTAGTGTCCTGCCTTCCGCCCGCTTCCAATGATTCCTGCCCCGTGTCCGATGATTCCAGAAGCTGCTCGCCCGCACCGCACCGCGGCCTGACATCCGCGTCCAAACCAAGTCATGTCACTCTGTGACTCTGCAATAGTATCAGGTCATGCGATGTAGTGTACAAGGAGAGTATCTATCTGTCATCCGCCACCCCTCACGGACTACTCATCTCCATCTTGACGAGCCCACGCTCCGCCCGGGCACGCCGCTCCGCCGCAGCCATCTTGCGCTCGCGGTCTCCTGGCGTCTCGCCGCCGTTGATGAACAGGTCCTCGAGCAGGCGGTCGAGGTCCGGTGTGACCGTGAACTGCTTGTGCACCTCACCAAGGACGGTCGTGCTCTTGGCCTTGGCGTCGAGGTGCACAATCTGCTGCAGGAACGTTGTGGGCACCCCGGGCGCGACCTGGCAAGTCGTGTGAGTGCGAGTTCAAAAGGGTGGCAGTGTTGAACTTACGTTCATGACGATCGCGTTGGCGCCCTCGCCCATGACCATCTTGACCTTGCCGCTCTTCATCACCACGAGCGTGCCGATACGGCCCTCGGGGGGCGGGGCAGGCCCGCCACGCTTGCGGCGCAGCTGCGCGAGGCTCGGCTTGACGTCGGGCTTGACCTCTGGTGGCGGTGCCGCACTGCCGCCGTCGACCATGACGACATCGCCGTCGCCCTCGGCCGGCAGCGCAGGCGCGACCGGCATGACAAATTTGGGCATGCTGGACGGGAATTGGAACGTGAAGAGCTTGTCCTCGGGGTTGTCCATGCCAGGTGCGAGCACAAAGTCGCCCTCCATCGGCTCATCTTCGTCCTCGCTCTCGCTCTCCGACAGGTCAATGGCGTGCGCAGCATCCACTGCCTCGCTGTCCGGTGTCGTCGTCGTCCCCGCGCTCACCGTCGTGTCCGTGCGCGCCATGCGGCGCCCGTCCGCCGTCCGGTCCTGCTGCTGGTCCGCACTGATCATCGAGTCGCCCACGCGAGTAAGCGGCGGGGGCACACCCGCGTTCGGGTCTGGCGGCAGAACCGCACCCGGACGCACAGGCGATACTGGCTCGGCCTTGACGCCGGCCGCGGCGCCCTCGGACAGCGCAGCAGCGGCCGCAGCCGCCATGTTGCGCGCAACCTGCCGCGCACGCTGCTGGCGCTTACGGTCGCGCATCTTGGCCTTGATGGCCTCCTTGGCCTTGGCCTTGCCGCCGTCCAGGTCGCGTTCGCGGTACGCGCTCGTGGGCGCCGACTCGGAGAGCCCCGAGACGGCCTCAATGTCGATCACACCCGTGCGCGTGCCATCCTCGTTGTCAGAGTACACCTCCACGCTCGTCACGTCCGCCTGGAATCGTGGCGGCGGCGCAGGCGCAACTGCCCGACGCGTAGCTGCCGTTAGTAAACCAGCTGGCCCAATATCATCTCCTTACAGTTTGTCCGCGTGCCACCAAACGGTCCAGCAGCAATCGTGCTCGGCGCGGCACGAGCTCCTCCGCGTGAGCCTCCACGCCCGCGCGCGCGCATAGCCGGACGCCCACGCACCGCCGCACCCGAGATATCCGGTTTCACGTCCTCCTGCTGAGCCTGCACCGCACGGCGCACCGGCATCTTGGGCTTGAACTTCATCTTGGGTGCCGGTGCGGCAGCAGGTGTACCAGTAGCGCTCAGCGGGGTCGAGGCGCCACTCCCGCCCTCGGCAACCAATTCAGAGTCCGTGTTGGAGCCGCCAGTGAGCGCGATCGTGCTCGGGCCAGCTGTCGCGGCGGCGGGGGCCGCGTCCGCACCAGCGTCAACGTCCATCGACTCGTGCGCCTCGGCGCGCGCTGTCTCGGCACCGGGTTCGGGTTGGGAGTGCGCGGCCGCAATCAGCGAGGGACGGGCCCGCCCCGGCATGCGGGGGAGGCGGGGCTTTACGTCGCGGCCGGACATTGGTGTTGGATGAGCGGTAGAGTGTTGTCGAGCATGTCGAGGTGCTCACGCCGGAAATTATCCACACACCAGAGGTGCAGTGAGGTAATTTGGTTCCGCAACATGCAAGTCACGTGGTTTAATTGCACCGCCAAGTGTTAGACACAGTTCGCATTAAGAGTACAACGGCTAGAACGATACAAGATCCAAGACAAACAATCGCAAGCCCGCGCACTCACTGCGTCTCGGCAAACGTGCGCACGCCCTTGAGCGCCTCGATAGTGTGCTCGCGTGCTTTGACGAGCTTGGCAATGTGGTCCATGAGCTGCGCGACGATTCGTTGCCGCACTTCGATTGTCTGGTGCTGGAACTCGCGGAACCTGAGGGTCAGCGCAATTACACAGATCTAGGACGTACTCTATAGTGACACTGTCGAGCTGTGATTGCGCGGCAAAGATACCCTGCTGCGTCTCCTTGACCACGTTGGACACCTCGGCCTCGAGCTTTGCAATGTTGTGGTTGGCGTCGGCAGTCTCTGTTTGGAGTTGCTGGACGGGTCAGTATTGAGGCGTGCTAAGCTAGACTTACAGCCTTGGCGTCATCGACCTGCTTTTGCACACGCGCGAGCCGGTCCTCGAGCCCAGCTACCTCCTCTCGCCGTGGATCCATGTCCTGTGAGAGGGTCTCGTGCTGCTCTCGCAACTCGCCCGCCTCTGCTCGCCGCTCGGCAGCCTGCCGGTGCACCGCCTGGTAGAGGCCCTGCAAGGCGGGAAGGATCGCGTCCATTTGCCGGCGCGCCTCCTCTCGCAGCTCGGCGGGGCCAAGTGTCGAAAGATCCAGCGAGATCTGGAGGTTTGTCGTGTGCTGGTCGCTGTCCGAGTGGATGATGCCGATGCGGCTGCCAAGCGTGTTGTACTTGTCAATCTCGTCGGCAAACTTGTCCATGGCGCGCGTGAGCTCAAATTCCTTGTTGTCGACATTGTCAGAGACCTCCTTGATGCTAATGTGGAACTTTTCGAGCGTCTTTCGGAGGTGCTCCTGTTCAGTGTTCATGCGCGTCGCCTCCTCCGGGGACAAGTTTTGAGCCGCAACGGCAGCCCGGGCCTCGGCAAGCTCTCCCTGCACGGCTTCGAGTCGTTGTTCTGAAGAGGTTAGCTCGCATTGGCCCGGAAACTCACTAAACTGCTGAAGCCGGGTCTGTGCCTCTTGAATCTTGCGCTCGTCGCTGGCAATCTTCTTCTCATGGAGCTCGGTCTGGTCGATAAACTTGGCGCGGTCGGACACGAGGCTCTGGTAGTGTTCCTCGGCGGCTACGAGCTTTGACTGCTGAGTCTGGAGTGCGTCGAGCTCTGCCTGCCGCTTGCCGATTTGTAGTTGGAGCCGGTCGCACTCGTCGACGTCTTCGGTCATGATGCGCTCTGATGGTCAGTGATGTACAAAACTTGGGACACTTGCCATAAGCCTCCCGCAGCTGTTGGTCCGCCTCGGGCCACTCCTCCTCGCGGCACCACTTGGTGTACGCCTGCGAGCAGTAGTCCCAAAGCAGCAGATCCTCGATGCGCTCATAGTCGACAGGGAGCTCTGAAGGCGGGATAAACAGCGGGTCTTCTGTCTCCGCCACATGCCATGTCTCTTCGGATGCCTGCGGGTTAGCACATCACATCTCAGGGACACCAGACCCACCTTGCAGAGGTCGACCATCCAGCTAAGCGTCGCCAGCATCAGCGGCCAGTACTTTTCCGAGCCCGCGACCGCAATGGCCGACTTTGACAAAAAGTCGAGATACGGGCACTTGAGGTCGCGGAGCATGGCCGTGCAGTCGTCCTCAAACTTTTTGCCACGCGTGGTCGGGCCGACGAGTATCTCTGAGAGGGCGCGGAACGTTGCCTCAATCTCCTTCTGGATCGGATCCTTGGTCTTGCTCGACAGAGGCGGCAGGCCGTGCGAGTAAAGGAACTGGTCGATGTTGGCGCGGCACTCTGCGCGGAACGCAGGATCCCGTCGCGGGTCGCGTGGCGCGTTGGGACCGCCCGCCGTGGACGGCATGATCGACTGCCGCCCAGACGGCGCGGAGGGGAACACGCTCGACCGGCGCGCGCTGTTGAGCAGCTGCGGCGCGGCGGTCGGCGCTGGGCGGGAGAGG